TTTTTGTTTCTACGTACTAATTCTTTCTTCCTGTACTATATCTTTATATGCAATCTTCTTTTATATATTACCACCACCACCACTGAATTAACTACTTCTATGAATTCGGTGTTCATCTTGTCGTGCAACTTGGACCGACGCACATATGTGCCTGGTTCTACGTTGTAACTGAGTGACTGATTCACTAACACGATTAAGTCGATGATTATATACAAGGATCATCAGGATGTATATTTTGATAACAACCATTCATACGATCTAATTGAAGACAGATATCGGGCCATTAAAATGTATCTGATTCAACCTTTTTCTTACCTAACTTACAAATGTTTTCCAATATATGTTAATGAGACTTAAGACAACGAATTTTAACTGTGGAATAAGACTGAACAACGTCTATTTTGTATTTATGTATAAAGCTACAGTATGGGTTTAGTATACCAAGGCGCCATAATAACAACTTAGCTATGAATATAAAAATAGAATCCATAAAATATTTTATATCAGCAGTTAATAATTTCTGTGCATAAATCCACTAGTTTGGTCAATGCACGATAGACATTTCTACCTTTTCTTAACTATATAATCGAAAATCTTGGAAAAAAATGTATAAGATTTTGTATGCTCATATATTTATAAATGTGTTCATTTTAAGCCTTTTTTCATCTCTTATGTTATTGAAGAGCCATAAAGTCGCCGTGTAAAACGCATTAAATGACTTTGATTACTTGAAATTGATACAAATTTGTTTTGTGTAATTGATTCATAAAACATTCAGGATGAATCTTATTATTATGATCTGGTAATTCCATTTCTCTTTTACCGAATAATAGTGTAAATCTTTTTGTTGGTTATGTCACAATTAAATAACCAGAATTCATATAAATTGATTTCAAAATGCGATAGGAGAGAGAAAAGTAAATCTTCTAAATGTGTAATTAGAATAGTGTTCCACCTATACGTCACTGTTAAAACATTCCAATAGAAGTGAGTTTTAGGATATATATATATATATATATATATATATATATATATATATATATATATATATATATATGCTTTCATATGAAAATACTAGATATTAGAAAAGCTTCAAGAGAAGGGTCATATATAATGAAATGATATCATTGTGGAGAAGAATGAAAAGCAGAAAGATAATATGATATACAGTCAACTTATCTCACACTCCTAGTGTATAGAATTGGTGATTGTGGAGTCAATGTAAGATTTATTTTTGAATTTTAGATATCTATATTATTTGTAAGATGTTATTTCCATTACTTTACACTATGTATAAAATGTCTAAAAACTACATGAATTTACTGATATTTAAATAAAAAATGTTTTGTAAGTGAATGCAAACTTATACGTTAATAATAAGAATTAAAGATGTTATTCAACGTATCACTTTCTAGGTTTTTGTTTAAGCGTTTATGAATATTAGTCAATTACAAGTTAACTTACTTTTACGTTGTTCAGTGAAAACGGTTTGTACACAGGTATGATGCAATATAGTAATAATTGTCTCTATTGTCATGTGAACCTTTAAACATTAAAACAGTTAGGCACACTATTGACAAACAAAAAGATTTCGTGAGATTACGAAATCGACTTGTCTAAAAAAAAAGCTAATCAGAATGATGGAATTTGTCAATCAGTTTTTGTAGTAGACGTCGGAGATATTGTTTTTTTTAGTGGTAATGAAAGCTTTAAAGTTAAGTTATTCAGCTAAATGAACCTATCGTTGACAGAAAATACCATTGCAAGAAGTAAAATGGAAAAAAAATTATCTGTAAAGTTCCTACTTTTTAAATCAAATGAACTGGTTAGAAAATCTTTCAATAATAATACAAGGTAAAATGTACTTTTATGTCGGTGTATATAATTTAGAGGATGTCACTGAGAACAGTATTTACTAATCAGAATAAACAAAGTTAAAATGAACAATCTTCCTTTATTTTCTTTTTTTGTACGGTTGACCTTAATGTGGTTGAAATTATTCTTAAAATGAATAGTTAGGATGCTAAAGTAAATTCATATTTATCCATATGAATAAAAGTTTAATTTAAATTTGAGAATGTAAACTTCTTATACGAGAAAAGCTTATACGGTTTATTTTGTTAAGACGAAAATTCTCATCTATAATCCCGCTCCGCGAGATTCGAACCCAGAACATATCAATTTCGTGCGCGAACGCTTAACCTTGATTTGTTCCATTATTATTATTCCTTCTTTTATTAATGATAAAATCAAATTAACATCAATATCTGAATACAGGTATATTCAGAAATGTGGGAGTATTAGATCGCTTTGATATAGAGCATTTTTATATCAAGGAAGTGAAATTAAACATTTCACAACATATCTGATTCACAGAGATAACTTACGGTTTATATGTTTTTCAACTCAATTATTTTTACTCCAAAAAATTATTTGATGTTAATCTCACCTTGTTATTTTTTCATTTGCTTTAGAGTGATTTATGGATTGGGTTGAATATCGATTCATGTTATTAATAAAACGTTTCAGTATGAGGTTGTGGAGATTATTAAGTTTTTGATTGAAATCATGAACCGATCGATGTTAGACCACAGTTGGAAACCTGGAAGCACTGAACGGCCGTTTCGTCCTATTGTGGGACTATTCAGCAGTGCGCACCCACGATCCCGCTCGCGACATTCGAACCCAGGTCCTCAGTCTCGCGCGCGAATTCCTAACCTCTAAACCAGGTCTAAAGGTGCCACAATAGGACGAAACGGCCGTCCAGTGCTTTCAGGTTTTCAATGGTGGACTAACATCAATCAGTTCATGATCTCAATCAAAAATAAAATTTTTATTTTTCTTATAATTTTACGTTACTCATAGTTTTATACAAACACATACCTCTTGCTAGTCAATGAAATGTTCATGAATACTGACAAACATATATTCTGATATAAAATTATTGTATTTCAAAAGATATATTTTTTATAATCCTTACTATTTATTTTAATTACTAGTTTGAGCCGATAACTGTAGTTGATGAGGATCTATTCGAACTCATTATATTATGTTTATGAGTGTTTTAGAACTATTATGATTCCGTAGATAAATTGACTAATAATCTATCTTCATAACGTATATATATATATATATATATATATATATATATATATATATATATATATATATAAGCTGATAGTCATATACCGAAAAGTCTAGTTAACGTAATTATCAATAAATAGTCAATGATAAAAAGAAGTCCAAAAAAGCCATTTAGTTTTCATTAGTGATTGTTGCATTGTATTTTGAACATCAAGAACAAATAATCAGATAATAAATTAAGGTCAAATAAATCATTTTAAATAAGAAGGGAAAAATTAGGACATTACGGAAAAAAATACCATATATAAATCGATTTTTATCAATTTTCACATTTCCGATTAGTTGTAGAACAAATACTGCTCACAGTGATAATTGTGTTTCATCGAATGCTTAATTCTGGTATCAAGTATACTGATATTTAATAATATAAACTGAAGGTAATTAACCATATCGTTTCTCACTCATTTTCACGTCACTATTACTTACTACTGAATCCAAAGATGGAGGTTATTTACGTATATTCAACACAACGTCAATATTTGAAACTTTATATATTATCAGCAAATAATAAAATACATATTTGCGGTTATGACTGGTGGTCACTTATCCTATTATAACTTCTGAAGAATATTATTAGTTAATTAAGGGATTGATGAATAACGATAGTCAACTGATGTATTCACACCACATATTGGAATTCGTTATTCATTGATTATGTCTTAAGTTCTATCTACTAAATACAAGCTTATATGAATGATGCTGAGTAATCATTCGTCATTTGTTGCTTTACTGATAACAGTAATAATTAATGTATCGATTGTTACTTTTCTCATTATATAGCTACAATGAAAATGATATTTATAAGAGGTAATGGTAATGTAATTTATTGTAAATACATATGCGATCTACTCGTTCGTAAAACCTAATATATATATATATATATATATATATATATTGATTGAAATTTATTTGGTGCTGCACTAACTCTCATATAAAGGATGACTGTAGAGACTTGAATTGATACAAAACAGCAGTCATATTTGTCATCATTTTCAATAACTTCACAAATATTTTACGTTTGTAATGAAAATTATTTTTGAATAAGACTGTATCTTTACGAAACCTCGAATAGAAGCGTATTTTTCTAATACAAACACATAGTGGGAACAAGATGTTTAATTACCCTCAAAAGACCTTAGAAAAAGTGACAGAAAGTCTGACAGCGTTACTTGCAATAAAAACAGGACACATAATGGACTTTGGTTAAAATAAGGTCCCCGAAAATGGTCTTGGTTCTCGAAAAGAAAGATTAACAACCGATGGCTTATATAGGTAAATAAACCAAAACAATTTGAATCGATGTGATGGAATTTAATTGGCTGTACAAATGCAACTCATTATCAATAAGTTTGCATAAATTTAGCACACTACTCCCTTTTCATTTCAAATTTGGTGGAGAGCAGAGACACACATTCAATCAGTACATCCGTTATCATGTTTAGATACGACTCTGACAACCAGTTCGTTTAACGTAGCTATTAAAACATAATGTTAATTAGTTATTTTCTTACAGTGTATCTTCTGACAAGTTTGACCGGTGACTGTCAATTAGATAAATTAATTTGTGCCCATATCATAGGCCAAGTACAACGAATTTACACAAAAAATCTCCATAGCCACATAAGCTTCTGTACTAACTATAGTTCAAGAACATTTCACATGAAATAACTGATGTTGACACCTTGAAAATCATCTTTCAACATTTTATCTTGAAAGCTGTCGTTGTTTGATCCCTATTTTAAACCTAATAATTCTGAGATTTGGTCACTTTCCCAAAGAAGCTCAAAGCAAGTTGTGCAGCTAAACTGCGGAGTTAGATTTGTTTTCAATCTCTGAAATTTTTAAAAATGTGCAAGTTACTTTTTAATATGTTTATTTTTGATCAGCTGATTTATATACACCTACACTAGAATAGATATATTTGTCAGATTAAAAAAGGAAATGAAGGATTGTTTGATAATCTACACATAATAAGAAAGAGGAAAAGCATCTTTTTAAGTTAATTTACATCATACGAAATGACTAATTTTATTTATCTGGTTTTAATGATGATGAAGATGATGACAGTGGTTGTACAACTGAAGGTGCTAAGGATACTGAGATTGGTCCCGTTGCTGATTTCACTTGTAACTGAGCCAGTATTTCAATAAGATTATGATTGAAAATCTCCGAACCATTACCTTTAATATAACCTTTTTCGACAAGTTCAAGAATAATTTTCCAGTTATCACGATTTTTCTCAATAGTATCTAAAATACTTGAGCATTGTGGATATAAATTGTTCAGTACCCTATGGTTATGGGAAATAAACGTTACAAAAATGTGAGATTTTTTATTACAATATTCATCTGTTACAAAATTTAATCATTCTGTCGAAATTTCGCAACATTTACTTAGACATTATTTTTAAGATCCTGTTTATCATAGCTCGAATTGTCTTTTTACATTTTTTAAGCTTCAAATTATGATCGCATATTTCCTGTACAGTGAACGATTAGATTAATATAAAACCTAGACATTGCAAAACAAGTCAGTGGAAATTATTACCTTTAAACTGTATGTTTTTTGTTTGAACTTGTATTAAACATATCTATACTATTGAAGCTATCAATATGATCAAACTGAGAAAGATTAGTTGGATTGATATGAGAATACCTAGAGAACAGAATATCACTCTCGTGTAAGACAGGTGAAATGATAGCAGTCAACAACATATATGAACATGAATATTTCAACAAAAACTAAAGTACAAATGTATCCTAGAGTAACTGGATTTACTTTTTAAACATGTTATCATTAATTGCTTAAGAATAATTGTGTACAATGTGTTTTCAGAAAATAAGCACATGAAAGTAATAGGGTTGATGGCTGTGAACATAGCAAATCCTAGTAGTGACAACATTGTAAATTTTCATCAAGAAATAATGGTCGGAACATTAAAATCATAATGAAAATAGTGTTTGGAATACATAGATGACAAAGGTAACACTCATTACGTAATAGACTATATCGGTAAATGACGAATTAAACCTACTTGTATAGTGGTGTAATTATATAATCCAAGAAAGAGATTTGTAAATGTGGCACACATGCTCGTTCTCTATCCATACTATCAACTGGATTATGTCCTAATGATTTCTCCATATCACCTTGTTGGAAAAATTCTTCATAAATTAATTTTGCGACATAAACTGTATTGTTCCAAGATTTGGTTTGATCACTCAAGTCAGCTGAAGTCATTAAGAGGCATAAAAGAAGGTAATGATCCTCTGATTTCGTTCCATCATATCCTCGATGAGATAGTTCTTCCAATTTCGGCATTATACGAAGATGATGTGACAAATCAGTTGCTAGAATAATGTCACGAATATGATCTAACAACTGACCATAATCCTGTAGATTAAAATTTAGGGAAAAATACAATGCCATAATGTTGAAAAGCTTTTTGACAAGAGAGTAATAAAAGGTTTCGAAAATTATTTCCCAAACAAATGTAATCAGAAGTATGTTTCGCACTTGATTAGCAGTGGGATCGAAGAATTGTATTTTCTCCTGCATGGAATTTATCAAATGGATATATCTGCATCACAGTGCCGATTTCTTCACTGAGATTTGTATTCAGCACCTTTCACTTCAAACGCCCGATTCACTATCAACTGAATTACTGGGTCTATGTTGCCATTAAATTGTTTAACGGGTATAAAGTTATTAATAAAGTCTTGTAATTTTAAACTGTTAATATTCAAGAGTGCAAAAGCTCAGTCACTTTAATCACACATACCTCTTGTGCTAGTTGCTTCTATATAATGTTACCAAAAGTGTAGGTATATTTGATGTTTATTCAAATTTGTAACTTAATACCAAGTCTAAAACATTCTCTCAGAATGTACATTCGCAACAGAGACTGATCAGTAGTGTTCCTCAATATAAATAGTTCACAAACCCTCACTTAATACAGATTTAATTTCAGAATTTGTTTCCTAGTCAATTTTTAATCCGTTAGTTGGAAAAAGTACTCTGTAAAAGTGCTTTTTATATCAATGAAACCTAAGCACAAATATGTACATATAATTAAGTTCCATATACTAATATAATAAATTCATCAAATAAAATATTATCTATTTGTTATCTGAATCTTAGATATGACTGAATTGAAAATTCGAGAAAAAACTCTTATCAAATATATTATATATCCGTTTGACAGAACATTCGAAAATTCCATTCATCTTCTGTCTAACCTCATGAATAATCTGTTAGTTTAGTACAATCTACACAATTTCTTACTTTTTTTTACCATCAATTATATGCTACATTTATAGTCTAAAATCTAGTTTAATTAGTAAATTATTCTGACCAATATAGAGTATTTTAGTAAACAGTTATCTCTCATCAGTCTTCTTTACTCCGAATTGTTTTGTTTTTTTCTCTTATTTCGATGGTTAGATTTTAAGTAAACTTTCTTCAATAGTATATATTCTACATTTTATGTTATAATGTAAATATCAGTAGTCTAATATACATGAATATTTTTAGTCTTATATATTTCAACAAAGTTTAGCTACAAGTAAGTAAAATGACCTAAAATAATTAATGGCATTAAAAAGTAAAGGATATTGATTACTTTCAATGTAAAGAATCTCATTCAAAGGTATTTCCTTTCTTTTTTTACTATAGAATGGCTGAATTTATACTTAATAATAGAAAATAAAATGGACACTAAAGTTTTGGTCTTTTACTGTCCATTTTATTACAAAATAATCAAACTGAAAAGAATAAATGAGCGGATTTGATATATATATATATATATATATATATATATATATATATATATATATATGTTTTTTTCACGTTAGCTACAAAACTTTAAACTGACAAATATATATTTCACGCTTTAACAACTGTTTCTAAGTAAAAAAAAAACTATCCTAGAGGCTAAGGATTTTAATATTTTATAATGAATTTTTAATAAAAACAAACTGTACTTAAAAGGGTGTATATGACATTTGAGAAAGTAATTTAATATTTCACTATTTAGTTAAATGTATAAAAAACGCTTGATAGTAAAACCTATTATTTTCATGCTAAATGTTAAACCAGGATATGGTTATTAGTCAAAATAAGTATGTACAATGCTTATATTGTTATAGTATGTATTATTTGTATAAAACCAAAATATTTTACACATGACATTATGGTTGATTACAAAATATTGAAACATCTATTCTAGTGAACAAAGCAGACTGAAAGTGTATTATTTAAATTAATAGTAAGACGGAAATCGGTTTATAATCTACTGAGAATTAACTTGATTAAATACTTCAATTTAATGCACCTCTTATTGGATTGTGGTTGAAAATTACTTTAAGATGATGTAATTTCATAATTATTTCAGTAAATAATAATATTCATATTAATTAAGACATTTACTTTCTTTTGCTCTAAGATTGAAAAAATAAAAAAAGCGTGAGAACAAGGTATGAGTTTGATGCGATTGGGCTAGTTTTGATTAAGTTAACAATGTATTTTAATAATCACTAGAATTTAATAAAGTAATTTTCTACGTAATCATATTCTTAGACAGATTTATTGAGGATTAAGCTAGCGATAATGGTAAGTTTATTTAATGTTTTAAAGTATTTATATTCTAAGTCTTCATACATAGCTTTTATGGTTAGTGATATGTTTGTAGTTAAAAAGAGTAAATGATTATATAGGTGTGTTATATCTGTACTCAATTCAGTAATAACCGATTCAAATCTAGCATAGTCCATAGACTTTCAATTTTAAGCAAATAATTGTATATTGTTTCTTTAAACCACCTGCACGTAATCCGGTAGTCGATGGTCCTCCATTGTGTACTCAGGTATAAACAACGTGTGAACAGAATTACTCGTTGTCGATGGATATACCATAAATTCATCACCGTAGATAACTTTTTTTTCGTCAATACTTAAGAGATGATTTCATTATTACGACAGTATTCAGTTATAAATGTAAAAAAATACAATTGATAACATTTTTTGACAGTCAAACTTAAGGAGATTGTGATTAGTTGTATTGAAGAAAAATACAATATTGACTCACTTCTTTTGAAACATTTTCAAAAATATTACATCCCTCTGTGTTTAATACACAAATAGTCTGGGAGAAATGATGCCTTTCTAAAACAGAACCTTCTGAACTGTATAAAGCAGCCAATACAGATTTAGATTGGACCTGTGATACAATGGAAAGAAGAGAATATCATAGATAGTAACCTAATCAAACATACTTTAGTACGTTGATAATTATTTGAACTGGATGAACTAATATGACATTATAGAAAGAGACAAAGGGAAAGAACAATAGATAGAGACTTATATCTACACAAAAAATAGATCAACAAGATTACCTAAAGTTATCCATATTGATTACTATTTCGTTTTTAAATAAATTTTAAAATAATTAACATAAATCATTTATGGACGCAATTCGAAAATGGGAAAACACATTGTTACAATCAAAGTGTATAATGCCTTTTTCTTTACGAAAAAAAGCAGAAATTATGACATCATTGATCATCCAAAGGTTTTACATTAATAAAATGAATTTTTGAAACTAAAATTGAACACAACACGTTATTCATCACAAACTGTGTAGATAGAATAAAAAAAACATGAATAAACTTCACTTCTATCTGTCTATAGTCGTAAATTGATAGTTTCAAAAAATACCATTAAGTGATAGCTTGTATATAAGAAAACAAAATTATCCGATCACTTCAGAATTTAACGGAATACCACTAACATAAGTTTCAACGGCAAAATGTTTGAATACATAATCTCGTTACCAACATAATCTTCGTCAGTCTTAATATCCATTGATATTTATGTACTTATGTATGAGAAGGGCAGTTTGTGGGTCAATGATTATATTGAATTAATTGAATTATTCATTAGGTTTCCTGTTGCCATAGAAAGGTTAAGTTTATTACAAACCCTCTTCTGTGAACAAAGAATTGGTTTGTTGGCTTGAATTTCTTTTCATTATACTACTCAATATTCTGATGAATATGTTCATTACAATAATAAAATATTTCCTAAACAATTTACAAATGTGCTCAACTGAAATTTAATAAATTCTCATTACTAAATTGTTGTGTTTTGCAAATAAATGAAAGTTAAGTTAATTTGGATAAAAAATGTTACTTTCAATAAACACTGTTTACTATAGTAAACACTTATATAACCAATTGAATATCATACAACCACTACACTATTTTCTGATTACTCAACTTTATCGGAAACAATTTAGCACTCGGTTTAAAATCCGTTTAATAATTCTTCATTCATCAATATACTTTAAAGATGCTTACAATCAAAATAAGTTTTTATCCTAAATTTATTTACTGATATCTATAAAATATGATAAGAAACGTAGTTAAAAATTTATTTCAGAAGGGGTTTTGTGGAGATTTTTATAAATTTCAATAGTGGTTAAGCGCTCGCACGGGGAGGGGGTGGGATCGTGGATGCGCACTGCTGAGTCCCATACTAGGACGAATCGCTTTTTGCACGAGAAGTTCGGGCTTAAGTTGGTGAATCGCTCTACCTGAAGTTTGTGCTGATGTCCTTCAGAAGAACGATGCAAGCTCCACAACCAAACCATCCAGCTCAGAGAACAAAACTCCAACAAAATTTCTTGATTATCATGACTTTTATGTTTGTCGTTTTTCATCATATCTGTCAATTGGACAATTATCTGACCCATAAATTATTCCCATCTTTATATTCTTTTCCTAACTCTTGATTATTGCCTAACCTCATTCGATAATAAGAGTCTCAAATCAATTTATGATGCAGTCTTTTCTATCCATCTACTGACATATATTTTCCATATAACTATGCATACTAATGTACAGCTTAAGTAAATGATTTTGTCGAAAAGAGAATTTTCTTCGCTGAATTCTCTTTATTTTCATTCAATAATGCAATGGTTTATTTTAATTATCTGAATAATATACATTCATATCTTTACTTCTACATTCGTTTTATGTAATTAATATTTAATTAAAATTGTCTCATATACAGCTGAATAAAAATGGTTTGAATAAGTATAGATTTCAAAGTTTTAGAAGAAATGAGTCTGAAATTATATTCAGTCAGTAACTTCAATGCAAATTATGTCAGCATTTTAGAGAATTTAAGTAATTATTTGGTTTCATTGAGATTATTATAATTAATTTATCAGTATCACATGCTTCTCAGTAATAGGGGAAAGTGATTACCTACAGAACTATCCTTCATAGATTTTTGAGCTCCATTTATTTTTACAAATGTTTGTCAAAAGTTTGAGATCGGTAGCAAATAAACAAAACAATATCGTTAGCAGATTTATAAGCTGATAAGAAATAAACTGGTTTTAATTGTTATTGTATTCATAAATTCAGTATCAAAAACAAATTGATCAATTTTAGTTTTAATCTTAAAAGAAAGACAATAATTAAGCGCATTTAATTACCTGAAAACTGTTGTTCGTTCCACGATGGTCAATATCATGACATAATGATGCTACAAATAATGCCAATATTTCAATATCATCCAATTGATTATTGGCTAATGGTAAGTTTTTAATACAGACATAAACAAAATGTGCAACAGAAAATGCATGCATCCAGTTATGATAAGCTGGAGTACGGTAACCACGGCGAACCATCAGAATGAATTGAGCCAGTGTTCTCCGTGAAATACGCCAACGATTAATTAAATTCAAGCTATGAAACATGCTTAATGTACACTACGAATAATTGGAAAAACAAAACACATGAAACTTTTTTATGTTTCTCAATTAATCTATCCTCTAGTAAACGAAAATGATTTTAGTAATACTTCTATAAGCTTGTAATAATCAGGATTAAGTGAATCAATAAAGAGTATAGCTAGCTGAATAAGCATTCGATTTATTTATTCCACTCATCTGACGTTAAATAAAAACAAGTACATATGCTTCAATTTATTTCTGCTTGAAACTTTAAAGCTTATGCGTAAATGCATTTTACGCGAAGAATTTTATTAAAATCTTTGCTGTGACATTGTACATAAAGAATGTTAATCAAATGAAAACATTGGGGCACAGATTTATTGATTTATTGTTTTCTCCTGAACGTTTTAATGATTCCAATTTAAGAGCTATGTCTATAGGTCCATCTGAATAGCTATAATAGTTTAACAACAGGGCGAATACATTGTAATACGATAAAAAAACTAATCTCATCTGTTGAATGTTATTTGTAAACCTGATGGATGTATGATTAAAATTGCTTATTGCAATTTTAAGATAAAAAATAATGCTGACATAAACTGTTAACAAAAAGACGTTTTAATAACGTGGTATGGTGTTAAACTGTGATGAAAATATTAATAACCATAAGTTGGTAAGGGAGTTTCTATGATGCCATCTGAGAAAACGTCAAGCTAGTAAGCTTAATCAAAAGTGTTCGCCAAAGAAATTAAGAACGTTTGGTGAATTAAGTGGTTTGAAACAAACTGGAGTGTAAAGTTACCAAATCTTTATTCTTGCACTAAGTAAGCAACAAATAATATTTAAAAGAAATTAAAATGCGAAATTCTCTACTTTAAAGTAAACAGTTAACATAAATGCTAAAACACTGGGATATAGTTTCATACTAAGACTGAGGTAAGCAAACTACCTGAGTTTTTTTGAAATTACTGGAAGATTAATTCAAAAGTTTAGTTTGATGCTTGAACTTTTATGTAAAACGTAATTCACAACATCTTTAGCGGAGAACAACAAACAACATAATCATGTTTACCAAGTTCAGTGTTCATGCCGAAACAGGTACATAATTGGCGGAAATTCTAAATATGTTTTATCACCTCAATACATTTATACACTACTGTAAATCACTTAAATTTTCAACAGTGATAATCTCTACACAAATTAAGGTTTTCTTTACTCAGTTCACTTAAGTTGAGAATAATACGATTATAAGTATCTTAGAGCCTCAAATAACACCTAGGTACATTGTTTACATAAATTGTTAAATGTTATATATATATATATATATATATATATATATATATATATATATATATATATATAATACTTGTAACGTTTTTTTTCAGTTCACTCCATCCATTATATCTCTACATATTGACTTTAAACTATCAGAATTTCTAGAATATGAAATTTACCTCTTCTAGTAATCTGATTTTAATTGTGTATATTAGTAATAAAGAAAGAATTAAATAAATATCGCTGAGTGAAATATTCTTCAAAATGTGTGTACTTGAAACATTTTGCTTCGATTGAAAGAACAACTTGAAACAAATTTTGCCTCAATTTCCTTTTCTTCGTGATTTCTGATTTTTAACAAATAATTTATATTTTATAGTACAATTCATGAGTCGATTGAAGCTGAACCACTATGGAAAACCTGGAAGGATTGGACGATTGTTTCATCCTAGTATGAGATTTCTCACCAGTGCGCATTCAGGATCTCGACCTGCGAGATCCGAACCCACGACTTATCGGTCTCGCGCGCGAACGCTTAACCTCTAGACCACTTCTAGGTTTTCCATGGTGATCTGGCTTCAATTGATTCATTAATTCAACTATTAAATTACTAAAATCTCCAGAAAACCCCTTTGGATAATAATCATTTATTTCTGTTGTAATTTTTCAGTCGAATTTTACGAGGTTAGCAACACTCGCAACAAGTATATGATGAAAGATTTAAGATATATAATTTAAGTGTGAACTTTTATTCTGATCAAAGTTTATTATAATTATAGGAGTGTAAATAGACTTGAAAACCACATTATTTATAAGTATGTTCATTATAATTTACGAGTATTTTAAATTTGACTTGATTGCCATTAATAAATAAACGGAACAAATAAAACAAATATTTAAATTCAATCTGCATATAACAGTAGAATCCAGACAGTACGTTTCGTCCCTTTTCGAAATTGTTCAGCATGATGTACTTAGACCATTGTGTGAATATTTACACTATGATTCCAGCATAGTACTAAATTATTCAATGGAGACTGGCTTATTCATCAGGTTTGATGAAGAATGTAGTATAGTCTAATCATTTTGTAGTTTAAGGCAATATTAGGGAATCTACTCAAGTCATATGAATCATATGGAGTTCTTTATATCGTCAGTAGAAAAATAGCAACAATGAATTTTGATGAAAGCATTATTGGAATGAATTGTAATAAATGGGGTAGAAGTATTCAAGGGTAAATTCCAATTACTTTTACAAATGCTATCTAAGCAGAAACCCATATATTAAGGCTTTTTAATTTTTCATAGATGATTTAATGAAATAACGATTATATAATTATGTCCATCTTGCAGTTTTTAGTCAAAAAATCAGTGAAATACTGAATCGTTAGATAACAATTAATAATCAAGTCAAGATAACAATAGTTTCATTTTAAGCTATTAGCGAACTCTAATTCTATGGTGTTTTATGATGCAAAGTTACATGTTTAAAGGTATAATACTCTATTATGGTTGCTCAAATGTTGTGTTAAGCTAACTTTAATGTTTCTTTTCAGAAGGTTTGCCGTTGCTTCTAATTCAGCTTATATGAATGTGTCCCGAATGATAGGTATCTATTCGAGACAGTAAATACACCTCCACCTTGAAAATTCATATTTCTACAGTAGTGATTATTTTTTTAGATCACATCTTGGATTTTTGTTATTAAGCGAATATGCAATAAATTGTTACATAAGATTTATACATACTATACGGCATTATATTTTTATGGTGAAACGATTTTTATTTCAGATTAACCTCATTCGAGGACTTATGATTATGCACATTCTATAGTAAAAGTATTCAAAATAAACGATAATCCATATGGTAGAATACTGAAAGAATGCATGTGTCACAAAATATGACGGCCATCTCATTTACTTAGGATCCGGACTGTATATGACATAACATCATCTGTAAATTAGAGTAATGAGTTATAAAACTGGATGTATTTAAGTACATGAGTAAACTCCAAATTGCAGCGGAATGTTTCCTTAAGAGTACCAAAATATTCATCTTAGTGAAGTTTTTGTAGAAAATTCAGTTTACATTGATAATAGATAAATAAATCATAGATTTGACAGAAAAGTAGGTTCCTGAGTTTATGTTACTGCAGACAATACGAATAATTTATATTATACTGTTGGAAACTAGTTATGGGAATATAGACACTACCTAACATGAATATTTAGAAAACAAACAATAATAATGAATATATGAACACATTTGAAGTTAAGATATTAAAGAGAATTTCATAGTCAAATCGTCGCAATCATTCACTACAGAATACAGCGGACCGATGGTTTCTTACATACTTTTAGGTTTAAATTTTAACATGGAAAAAAGGTAATTGCTACTATACTTGTAAAACCATCAACATTGCAATCAACATTAATCTACTATTTTTGAAATTTAAATCACTTACGAGATATGTTTCATTTTCAGGTTGAATATTTCTTGGTAAAGATTCAAAAGAACTTGTATTAGGTAGAAATGTATTGATATCTTTAATTTCACAAGTGGATAACCAATTCTTTCTGTCTTCATCCACCTAGTCAATTTAAAAAATACAATCATGCTTCAGATTTTTACTTTTCCATTCAACGATCACTGTATATTAAATAAAATATGGGGCTTATAGCAACGAATAGTATAGTGTGAAATTATATCCAAACTACTGGAATGACATATGATTTGTCAAGAGACAGAGCGTTTTAACCTCTTTCATTGGTTATTGACGACACAAGTTTATTAAAACTATTTTAAACGATAACTAAATTTTACTGATATATCAAATTCTAGGAAGTATGGAACATTTTCCTAAATTCTTTGATGGAAAGTATCCATTATATTAGAAAATTGTACACACATAGCTTTTACAACTGTACGTAAAGATTGAAAATAACACTTTTCCATACAAATTAGATAGATTAAAAACAAAATTTATCTCACTGGTTGTTAAGAAATGTATGTATGTATCCTGGGTTATAAAAAAATAATTAGTGTATGACCATAGATGTAAAGTGAGATAGTGTATTTTGAATTAATTCAATCTATACACATATCATTTTTCCTACTATTTTGGCCTTTTAAATTTCGACGACAATCTCATGTGATTTTAAATTGAGTGAGCTTTTCTCAGTTAATTGAAAGGGACCACGTTAAAAAGGTTGGTAAGGGATAAATACTGGCTTGACTTCATAAGCGAATACTTTTTCATTTTGCTGAAATTGAACACGTTCATTCAAACGATATGTTATTAAGATATTACGAAGTAATGGGAAGAGATTTTCTGAATAACAGTTTGAAGATATCGTATTGTAATTCGATTATTTCAATCATTTTGAAATAAAACAGGTGGCTTAAAATGAAAACTAAGGTATTTTCAGCAAGATACTGTAAGACCTGTTTGAACTACATTTCTGACACTATCAACTGACAGTCTGACTATAAAGGCAACATGTCATTCAAATGTATAGAAATTTAAATCGTTAAAAATTGCCTTAGATACAATTTTAACCTCCTTTCCTAATATGCCATTTACACTCATATTTTTTTGTGAGTTTGAATGCTCCTGTGTTAACTTTTGACTAAATGAGTGTATGATTATTCTTGTCACCAAGATTACTCAGTCATTTTCTACTACAATCCAAAGCAGAAGTTATATGACGTCCATTGAGTACTATGCACCAAAAAGTATATTTACTCAATCATTTTGTCCGACTTTTGAAAGGAAGTAATCAGATGACTCTCATCTCTGAATACTGGAAACTTTTTCATTCAATAAAAAATTAAATTCTCTTTTAATTGACTTGTGCCTGTTTTGTTATATTACGTGCTTTAATTTCAGTCAAGCATTTGGTTTTCATGTAAACTCAACAGAAGAGGTTGAAACAAATAATGCATTCAATTTTTAGAATTATTTTGTTTTTGTTTCATCAAAATGTCAAGCGGATCAACTCTATCCAATCTCTCATATAATGTATTGTCTAAATATCACAACAACAAAAAATGAAGTACCGATTTTATACCTACACGATAGCTTTGTGTTTACTTCTTTTTGTAGTTTAAACGTTCTATTTTCATTTTAATACTTAGTTGCGTACTTGATTTAGAAAAAAGTTTAGCTTTATTACGGCGTTAGAATCAATGAAAAATGGGTTTTAGACGAATTTCCTAATCTCAATTATGGGAAACAGCAAACTATCTATTATATCTTTTCTTTACCAGTTGGAATCGCTTTAAAAATAATGATAATATATGTACAAATTCTCAGTAAACCAGGTCAATTAAACTACACAACATGTACTAATCCTATCTGCTAAATCAATTAACCATCTAAATAATATCATTCAGTCATCATTACAGGTTAAATAAAGTCTCAGTATCTTAATTTGCTGCGCTGATTACAAATTATTGAAGCGTAATCATACTATTCACTTTAAATGCTCTGTACATTTCGTAGAAAATAAATGCATTACGCAGTTTTACGTTTACCTTCATATGGTACATCATAAGTTCATTAGCCAATTTAGTACGGTGTTGTGCATCTTGAACATTTTTGTACATTAACGACTGAAAAGTAAGTAAAACATGTTCAGAGAAATGTTATGAAGAAAATTCTTGATTATTTTAGCATTTAATTTTACATTGATTTTTTTTCTCTATATATACGATTGTCATTATATCATGTCTCTATTGATGTGACAAGTATGTTTGATCTCGATACTGTCTAAAAGAAACAGCTTAGTCATTTGCTCCTCACAAATAAAAAAATTTTTAGTTAAATTTAATAGTGATCGTTTACAAAACGTAAAGGTTTACTAGTGTAAAAGTTTCGTTTTATTTTTCAACACTTGTGAGTTGTCAGCTTCAACATTTTCATCTAAAAATGTTTTAAGAAAACCAGCTTATCTTAATTATACAGGATGTTTGCTATCAACAAGTAAGAAACGTGAAATTGTTTATCTTCGCCGTGAAAGTCAAACAGTTGTTCGTATTAAATGGAATTAATCGTTTATTGTAAGCAGATGAGATCAGAAAATTTTAGTGGTTGTAAGAGGTGTTTTGATACATCGGATAGGAATTAGATCAAACTCACGTCTTACATGTTAATTGTAAGAATTATTTAATTGCCTTTCCTCTGTATGTGGAATTTAAATATTTTCCTCGTTGCAATACACATTCATGTTATGACCTTATGGTCTGAATAGATGTTATGACAGCTCATAGACAGCACATATTATAAATATGATTCCGCTGTGGATGCATTTAATCCCGAAAAATCACTTATACGTCACAGTCACTAAGAATTACAGAATAGATAGTCAATTTGTCAGTCTAGTAACTTAAATCGAACTTAAAAGATCATTAAAACAACACACGGAGACACTCATTCAGGAACACTATCTGGAACTTTATGGTAGAATAGATTATAATCTTATGAAACTAGTCAGATAAAATATAGATCAAGTTTCACAAATAGCAAATGTTAAGTTCATTATGTTCAGTTTAATAAAATGGATCAATTACATGTCTGTAAATATTCGTACTGCTTATAAGGAGTAACATTCTGAAAAAATAGAATTTCACTATTAAATTTGATATTTGGCTTAATATCGCTAGTTCAGGTTTAGTACCAATGCATAAAAGCTTCAGTGATTAGATAAATAGAAATCATCTAATGTTTTCTGTTTCAGCTAATTTTTAGAGGCTTTTTGTGGTATTGAAATTCAAGCAAAGCTTTGATACTTACATGCAAAAAAAATATTTAGAAAGTGTAACGCTAAGGTTACCTAATCAGATTTGATGAACTTAACTATAATATGCATTGCATAACGATAAACTACACTAAGTTTTTTATTACATGAAACAGAAGTAATCAGTCTTATAATTGAATTTAATCAACATAAAATAATCTTCATCAGCACGTTCTGTTTTTAAATATATATATATATATATATATATATATATATATATATAATTTTTTAAATTTAGCTTATACTTACATGTACTATACTTATGCAGCAATAAATTGAAAATGTTTTAGCTACATCTTCATCAGCTCTTGTGAAAAAAGGGTGATTTATTTTATTGCATAATTGTGCAACACCAACTATACCATCTTTTTCATTTTTTATTGGAAAACACAATATATTCCTAAATAAAATAGAGTTGTTGGTATAGTGAGGTATATGATAATAATAATAATAATCATTATTAAAATGAGATGTAAACATCGGTAAAATTGATGTACTTCAAAAGTTCCGTTCCTTTTATTCTGATATAACTTCTTCCTATGTTCATTAAATTTGTAGCTAGAAACTTCTGTAATATACAGTTGGAAAATCATTTAAATATGGATTTCAATAGTTTTATCATATACTTGAAGCTTAGAGTCAAATTACGGTATTTTAATAACATATAACATCGTTTCTAAAACTATATGATGTTCTCTCAAATATGTTAATCGGCAGGAAATGACTTATTACATAATATTATCGTTCAGAATATTTCTTCACATTCATAGAAAAATTATTTAGCTTTCACTAATACCTGAAGTTGAATAACTTTTTTTCTGGTTAGCGTTTTTATTCATGAGAAAAATGAGCAGGAATTGGATGGAACTAGAAAAGAAGGCCTAGGATAGAGTGGGTTGGAGAATGATGGTCGGTGGCCTATGCTCCATTAGGAGTAAGAGGTGTACGGAAGTAATAACTGAAGTTGATTTTCTTACGGTGTCATTCAAATTCATCTGTTTTTAAAATCATATTTAAAATTTTTTCTACAATAATACTTAAATGAATAAAGTATTTTTTTATTATAATAGTTGAGATCATGAGCCAATTAAAGCTAGATCACCACAGAAAACCTGGAAGCACTGGACGGCTGTTTTGTCCTGCTCAGACAACAAGATTCATTTCAGTAATATATGTTTTATTTCGTACTTGTAAGAAAAACTATTTTTATACATATTTCATTCAGATGAAACTTTAAATCCCAGAGGCAAGATATTGAAATTAAAATCAGTAAATTATTTTATTTTGTGAACAACAAACAAAACTCATTTTAATAACAGTCATTTTGATTACGGTATGAATATAAAGATAAAATAAGCAGAGTGAAGTGAATTGAAGGAATGATTGTATGAACAGATAATTATTTACCACATGACTGATTCAAATTAGCTTACCAAACCAGTAAATAAATATTATGCTTTTTGAGTATTTAAATGAACATCAACCGCTAGAAACATTTTCACAAAGGATGAAACACATATCCTCAAAAAGAAATATTTTCATTCTTCATGAAAAAAGAGATCAAAATAATTCATTAAAGTTGATCTAATATTTAGGAAGATACCATATCGCAGAGCGCTTATAGCCAAATTTAAGACACTTGGATAGATCTTAGACTTGAATCGCGCGAGGCGGGATTGTGTATGCGCAATGCTGAGGAGTTCCACAATAAGGCGAAACAGCCGTTCAGTGCTTTCAGTTTTTCCATGATGGTCTAGCTTTAACTGATTCATGATCTCACCTATTGAAACACTTGGGTTTGTTCAATGAGTATCTGCTTCTACTTACTATAATCAGCATAATATTTTTGTGTTTCAGAGATAGATAGTGATCAAATGAACGGATGTTTAATTGTAATATTTTACAAAATTTAACCTCAATATTACTGAAAATCAGAAATGTGTTGGTAAAATCAAATATAATGTGAATTTTCACCTACTTTTACTTTGATAAAATACACTTTGATTCATAATTAATATAGTTTTTTATATGAGATTTTCGTCTAAAATTCTAAAGTTTAGTAAAAGTTTTAAAAAAAGAAACAGATTTTTTTTCAAATCTCAAAAAAGTAATGTGAATAAAGAAATCTCTTATAAACTAACCTTGTACGAAATCCAGTTTCTTTATCAACACCACGATAGAAAAGTGGATGAGCATAGGCATCCTTAATATTTAACAATTCACCTAAAAATTAAGATAAATTAAATATAGTACCATATTTACAGATAAATTGATAGATAATAAAGAAGTCTATCTGTTCACGAACAATATACAATTTGCATATTATTATTATTATTATTATTATTATTATTATTATTATTCACTTTCCCATTAAAACTGAACAATCTATCCGAGTATCAAGTATTCTAACTAAGCTCTCCATTAAATAACAGATAACTACTATATAACCTATCAATAATCTCATGAATACAAGCAAACATATTATATTTTGTAACATACTATACTATAATTTGAATAAGAATCCTACTACCACTTGACCTAATTCGTTAATCAAATTGTTTGAATATTTGTTTATTGTTTAAATAATTGACATTTATGAAATCCCAACATGTCAGTAATTAATTTCTATCTTTTACTTAAATAATTAAAAACTATGGATTGTATCATAAAGAATCCGTTTTACGGATATTCAATTTTACTTTAAAATATTAAATAACCAATTTTATTAATCATTTTTACTTAAATTTACTCGAAAGTATTTAGTGTAACGTTGCAATATAGATTGAATATGTTAACAACAGCTGAATTTGTATTGTTAATATGGTATTGAAAAAAATTCAATTGTCTCGATTTTTGCATGGAAGACGAAATGATTTTCATTAAGTTCGATCAATATGTTAAATACAAGTTATTTATGGATTTCAATGTCGACATTAGACTTGATAATTCCAAATGAATTGATCATTGGGTAGAAAGTTAATAATAAATATAAATACATATATTTCAATAGTTGAGATCATGAATCAATTGAAGCTAGACTACCATGGAAAACGTGGAAGCAATGGATGGCCGTTTCGTCCTATTGTGGCTCGAATCTCGCGATGCGGGATAGTGGATATGCACTGCTGAGTCCCACAATAGGACGAAACGGCTGTTCACTGTTTCTAGGTTTTCGATGGTGGCCAACCATCAATCGGCTTATGATCCCAACTATTGAAATATCCACAAGAGCCCCTTCTGATATATATATATATATATATATATATATATATATATATCGTTAACAAGTTATTTATATTTCATCTAGTGTAATGTGACGTATTTAGTTTCAATTTATTTGTCTCATATAAATATTAAATATTGGCTAAGTAATATGTCTATTTAATAATTCTAGATTATGGCTTCTGTCAATAAAAATGAACTTATACTTATGTAGAAACATAGACAGATAAAAAGTCAACCAGTTACCGGTTGTAGCTACATATCCAGCGATGCCTTGATTTAAACTTAGTCGAATTTCTTCTGGTAACTACAAAATACAAAGTTAATAATTATGTAAAACAATGATAACATTGAAAAACTTCACATCGGTTAAAATTTGAAATTATGTAGGAGTCACACTATAAAATAGATTATTCATCAATCTAGTGCTTAGTATTTCACTAAATTCAAGTGTCATTATATTCATAGTTTTGGAAAGTTCATATTAGGATCGTTCAAAAATTGTGCTTCGTTTTAATGTATTTACTTTTTAGTAAGGCTTTTTTCAATATTTAACATCACTACTAATCTTAAGGTTAACAAAGCAAGTCTTATTTTCATAAACAAAGAAACGTGTTGTATCACTTGATTGAAAATTGTGTATCCAGGTGTTTTTAATGAGATGGAAATGAAAATGTTAAAAATATGAATATTGCAATGAAAGTACTTTTCAAACAACAAATAAAAATCTATGGTGATGAATCAAAATGAATTCGATTGTCTCTGAAAATGAGTAATCTAATTTGTTTATTTTTAATATTTGCTTGTATTAACATCAAAGCTCAGAAAAATCTGACAGATCTGATTCTTGTTAAATAATTCAACATAGTTCAGAGCAAATAATTATCTGTTGATTTCGTAGGTACTCATGAGGGATGCAAATACAAAGATATAAAACCTACCGAGAAGCTTAGAACTTAATGTATTTCATTAGAAACACAACTGTCAGGTGGTTGAAAATAGTCTACAGAAAATCTTGAACCGACATTTCATGCTTGTCAGCAAGCCTAGCTGTAACAATAAAGTGACTATTAATCTTTAGTGAAATATAACTCGCATCTCTTCACTTTATAGTCTTAGACGTAACCACTGAGTTACTTAGATCCCGGTTGACCACATGTATGATTGATTGATTACTGAATAATAACAATATCATTAACCTAAGTGACTTGACAAGAAGCCCACAATGTTAAGATGTTCGATGGTTTGAGATAGTAGACTTAACTAAATGAAGTAACTGATATTCAATAGGAATACTCTCAAAATGTGACTGAACTACGCTTTTCAAATAGTAGTCTTAAAAATTGCACTGGAACAAAGAAAAGTTAAAACATAAATGGTAAGAATGTTGGCTGATCAGAAATCACCAAAGTAAAGTTTTAAGATGTGGTAATTGGGTTTGCCACTTAACGATATTTTATAACTTGTGAATTGCAGCCATAAACGTTCTGAGCCAAATAAAAAGACAATGAACGCACGGATTTGAGACTAAGCGTGTGAAAATTAACCTCAACATTTCACTGAATAATAATTGGTTAATATCCACTGCAAGTCAGATTATTTGAATATAAAGTAATTTCTGAATTTTAATCTAACCAAATCTATCATAATTTAGCCGTTGTCCGTGTTGCCTGCCCACCCTAAAGAAGAGCTTGAATGATATATATATATATATATATATATATATATATATATATATACCACTATACTAACTTAGAGCAGTCTAATGCTTCACTATCAATTTCTTATTGGATTTACTAAGCACAAACAGTAGACACAATATGAACAGCACATGATCAGTGTTACTTTAGGAGCCATTTGAATAATGCACAAATCCCTAAGTGAATTCTTGCTTTTAGTTTGTAATGTTAATGTATATATATATATATATATATATATATATATATATATATATATATATATATATATATATATATAGGTCAATAAAATTAACACTCACTGTAACAGTTTTGCCATCTGCTGTTGTAAAACGTGTCTGTTAAAACGTGTAAAAAAGGTAATATAGGTTTTAGAATGAGGGTTTATGGAAATTGTAGTGATTTTAATAGTTGAATTTATGAGTCGATGTAAGCTAGATCACCATTAGGAACCTGGAAGCATTAGACGATTGTTTCGTTCTAGTATGGGACTCCTTAGAAGTGAACGCACACGATCAATTAATAACAATCATGTACCAACAGTGAGTGGCTTCAAGAAGAATTTCCTGCAGTCCTAGCGTGATGCCGTTACTAGTGGAGTCCAATGTGTATCAGGCAGAGACAGGTACCTACCTCAGTTAATGGATGAATAGTTGGACAAGATCATGGATCGATTCAAGTTAGATATAGACACCGTTGAATTCCGGCTCAGCAGCATTCACCTACGAGGCCGAACTTTCTTGGTCAGAGGCTCGCATGCGAGATGGTGGATATGCCATGCTGAGGAGTCAAATACTAGAACTATACGGCTATCCATTACTCCCAGGTTTTCAGTGATAGTCTAGCTTACATTCACTCATGAATTCAACTACTAATATATATTTGTTCAGATTTACTCAGTGCTTGAAAGACATTTCCAAATCAACAAATGTTAAAACGAATAACCTTCGTATTAATATTTATTTTTCTTAATACGAAAAATGTTTTGAACTATAGTGAATTCAATTTCTTGCAGATATCAAAAACCTTTTCGTACATCGATGATATGGTAAAAACTCCTTATCATAGAATATAAATTAAATGATTCTTTTAGTATCTTAAATAATATAGTAGTAGACTGAAATTCAACCATTACTTACACAGATATAGAGGTGATGTAACAAAATCTTTCTAAACTATATATATATATATATATATATATATATATATATATATATATATATATATATAAACACATTGGCTTATTCTAGAAGTGATAGACAAAATTATGGTGATTTTCATGAATGTAAGTATTTATCTAGATTATAAATAAATAAATAAACTGGTCCAGATTACCGAAAATGTAACGTTTGTATATTAGACATTTAACGGGAAGTATATTATTCATTAAAGATATTTTCGGAAATTCGAAGTTCTTATGTAAACAAATTATACAAAATTGTAGAATATAATAATGTTAGAATATAAATCAGCTGTAAGGAAATAATTTATTGTAATCTAAAAATGTATAGTGATATTATTCGAATGAATTGAATAAAGGCTTGTTATTGATTGACATTATGAACTGATTGATGTTAAGCCACCATTGAAAACCTGAAAGCACTGGACAGCCATTTCGTCCTATTGTGGGACTCCTCAGCAGTGAGGATCCACGATCTCGTTCGTGGGATTGCAAGGTTTGTTAATTTTTATTATATCTTAATTATGTGTCAGAGTTACATTTGATTGAATAAAACCTATTAAAAGAGTTTGCAAATCTGAACTAAATAGATTTTGATATGCGTTTTATTATAAAATTCTAGGTTATAATATTCCCTGTCTGAACTATTTTGTTCCATGTATGTCATGTCAACTATGATTGGACATTTCAATAATGGTTATAAATCCCAATACTCAGATACTTTTATATATCATTTCACTTATCGGGGAAAAATATGCTTCTTTAATCTCATTCATGAGAATTCATGAAATGTATGTAGAATTATTACTATATTGACAAAATTTATTGTCTATACTCTATCATACCTCTTGTGATATGATATACCTTACCTCTTGTTTATTCTTATCAGAATTACCTAGATAAAGCAAACAATGTAATAATTTTCTGTTTACGAATGATTTTTGTCAGGGTATAATTGAAAAATATGTTTTTAATGATGAATTATATTAAATTTATAGTCAGATAATTTTCTTGAAAACAATATGGTTTTCTTCTCGACTTTTAAGTAGTTTTATTTAATTTTTTAATGTTATTATTTTCCAACAGTTCCAGATGGTACAGTGAATATAAGATAGTTAGAGTATTTTTTATCATTAAAGCATAAGGAAAAATCTTTTTGTTTGCCCAGTGAATCATAGCTACTTATAAATTACAACCTAGAAAAATCAAATCATGTGAAATAAACACTGCACTTGCAGTAAGCTTACTTGGGAGTAAATGGTAAACATATAATTTGTATGTTTATTGAAATTAATGAGTTGATTATGAATAAACAATCTTTAATCTAATAATCTTGTACAAAATAAATAAATTCTAATTATCTTAACGTTTGCATAAATCAGTGGGAAATTTTTTTGATTAGCTCATCCTTCACTTCATAAATATTGACATACATATATAAGTATATATTGTAATTATTACTATCATAATAATCAACTCAACTTTAATTCATATATATTGGTTGATTGGATCTTCCCTTTGATATTTAGGATTGCAATTGAACAGCCTCTTTCAGCGTATGTACATCCTGTGAGGATTACTTTGGTATTGCCGAAAGAGACTGGTCAGCTTTTGTTCTAAACACCAACGGGGATATCCAAACAACCAAAACATATGAATTAAAATCCAAATTCACCTCATTACACAAGCCTGTGGCAATCTGGACTCAACAAGTAAGTGGATACAGTGATAGCGTTTGAAGCGAACGAGACTGGATTCGAGTCGTAGGGTGAACATCAGTTCTGAAATGCAGGTAAATCCAGTTGACAAACCCCGAATAGGATGAAACGCGAGTCCTGAATTCCACTGCTAACCACTGTTCATTTCCACTAAAATATTAATTTGCCTAATTTTCCTCTTCATTGATAAAACGATTTGCATTTCATAACCATTTATCAGTAATTTCATCTTATATTACTAACTACTTAAAACATTTAGGATTGTTATTCTAAAATAGATATTTTTATTTGCTTATTATTATTCACTTTTGTTGTTTTATTGCTGACTGAGAATGTTTCACATTCCCGAAATTACTTCTGTTAAGTAGCTAAAAAATGTTTGCTTGAGTTCGGTCAGTTATAATCATATCATTAAAATAAAAAAGCATTATGTAATACAATCAACTACATAAATTTTCTACCCAAATGACAGTATCTTCATATTTCACATTTTAAGTAAAAAAACCCAAATAGAATGGAAATGGCATAATATATTAAGTAAATATCAACTATATGATAGATCAACTTTTATAGTATTATTCCCTTAGTCAAAATATAAATTGTTTGATGTAAATGATCATTATAATTAGATATGAGAAAGTTTTACGCTTTTGAAATATAGGGTCTAGAAATTTATGATCAGTTAGGAATTGTTACCAAATGAATTACAATGAAATCTAATTTATCTGATATAATAACTCGAATTCTACAACAAAACATCTTATATTTAGAAATAAACATACTATTCAAGAAAGACAATTACTATCGTTTCGACTATTTATGCAATGTCAAACTGTACAACCTGTCTAATGATCGGTGAATTTTCGCAAATGTTTAAAAATAGATATTTTTGTAAGTGATGTCCCACAATTAATCGATGGTAGACGAATTATTATTATCAATAACATCTTTGAGAGGTACATTTTCTAGTTTCGCAACAAAAAATTCCGCAAGGATAGGACCTAGAAGTGAACCCAAAGCTATACCATCAATTTATCTATAATATTGTGCTATTAATGACAAAATGAACATTCATTGTACATTTCAGAAGTAATTCTTTGAAACTAAACTCGGGAATTCCAATATTGATTTTTTTTTCAAGTAGTTGTTGGCACACAAAGTCAATAATCTCAGTTAAATGTACATTAGTGAACAGGGAAGCAACATCTAGAGATATCATTCGTTTCCCATTTAAGTTCATATATTATTATATTCATATTGTTATTAACTATAAACTACCGCTTTCGAGAAATTCATAAATTATTTTAAAAAAAATGTGTTTCAGTAGTATTTAAGCATTACCTGATACATTGTTATTACATTATATTCTGGTTAGTCAGTTCAATATGATTTAGATGTCATTTAGATGATTGTTGTATAAATTATACAACTTTAATTGGTCAGAATGATAGCATGAAAAAAAATAATATAGCGATTGTTCATATTGAGATTGTAATGTTATTTTGTGAAAAGTACTACAATCAAATATAGTAAGATATGAAACTTACATTTTTATTAGGAGCTGTCGGTAATCCATCTAATACTTTTGCAACTAATACATTAGTTTCTGATTCAAGTAAAAACACTGAGCATCTAATTCATAAATTGAATAAAAATAATTCGACTGAAATAAATACACTATTTTAGAAAAAAAAATTTGGTGTTTAATACTAATCAAATCATGTGGTAACACATCAATTCATAGTTAATATTTGGGTTATTGTAAATTATGTAGACAAATCGCACAAATGAAATGACTTCACCATTTAGACTTGATCGCGGACGGCACCATCTTCCAGTTACTATCATAATAAGCAGTTTAAATTGATTTGTTAATTACATGTAATAACTTAACAAAAACATTGGCATAGTGATCAAGTAATTTCAAATGTACTTACATGATTATAGTAATAACGGATTAACTGAACGAAATTTATATCAGTGTGGGGATTTGTGGAGATTTTAGTATTGTCACAGTTGGAATCACGAGTCGAGTATTGAAAACCTGGAAGCAATGAACGAACATTTCGTTTCTGTGTGGGACTTCTCAGCAAAACGAACCCACGCGTTCATTAGTGACTAGCTTCAAGATGGATTTCCTGGAGTTCTAGAGAAATGCTGTGACTAGTGGAGTTCAGTCCATGTCGCGTGTGAGCAAGTTATAGACCTCAGACAATCGATGAAAGGTTGAGCAAGATCACGGATTGGTTAAAGTTAGATATCAACACCGTTGGATACAGGCTCACTGGTCTAGTGGTTAAGCGTTTACGTGCAATATTAAAGATCCTGTGTTCGAGTGGAGGTTGCGCATTGCTGAAGAGTCTCAAACTAGAACGGGACGGCTGTCCAGTACTCATTGGTTTTTAATGGTTTATATCGACTCGTGATTTTAACTGTGAACAAAATTTGACAAATATTGTTTTGAAATCTTTATGACATTTTTCAGTTAGAGATAATTAAATGGTTTAGCTTGGTTTGGTAGTTTTAATAACATCCAAAATGTGTGGAAAAAAACATTTAAAACATTGTTGCAAGTATTTTAACTCATACATTGAATCATTTGAGTTCGATACAAAGTAGATAATGTTTTTACTTACGGAGTGATGTTTTAGTCAGGTACACATGTGAACTGCGCAATGAGATAAATTATTCAAAAGTTCAGAGCAGTTAGTTTTTTCCGATAAATTTTAATCTTTAAGTTTATGAAAACTTGAATAATTATCTGAAATCTGAATAGAAGTTATTAGGATGTGGAACTTACAATCTACCAGAATGTACTATTTGCATTCTTGCTTCATGAATTTCAAACGATCACCAAATCTAATCTATCGTTAAGCATTTTTATAAAGTCGAATTATCTTTATAATACCAATTTGATGTATATAATTAAAGTATACTAATTTAAATGAATGTCAGTAATAAATGAAGGATAGATAACTCTTTTTTAAACTTCACAATTTTATATCCATATTTAGTTGCCAAATAACTTAACTCAGAAAAACTGAATGCGGATACAAGAAAGTGACCAACATCCAAATAAAACAAAATTACCAGGTGCAAAAATTGATATTACTCCACTAAAATTACACTAAAATATTCGATTTACACATAAATTTCATTTCCCCCCCACAGAATCGTGATATTTATAAGTGATTATAGAAAAAACAAATTATTAATTAAATATTGAATAATCTACAAATATATAAATAAAACAAACCTTTCAGCTTTGGTTAAATTTTGAGCTTCTTGCATTATTTTCAATAAAAGATTTGTTAAATCCATCATGTGAGTGAAAATATTTCTTGCAACTTTAAGCATATCCTAAATTCAATGTATTTTTTTGTTTATTTTATAAATAAAAAATATTAAAGAAAAATTGAAATTTTGAAAATATTATTATAATGAAGTTAACGATTGTTGATTGTTTGAAAGAATTAATAATTCTTAGAAGTTAGAAATCTATTGATGATCAGCTAGATATTTGTACAGCCCCCAAATGCTCTGGTATGGCCGAGAGTGGAGCAAGTCAACTCTCCCTCTCGAAATGCTCTCACATGCACGTGCATACAACCACTGACAGGGAAGTCTTACTCATTGCCTGCTCACGACATTACTGTTGTTCACGAAATTGAGAGGATAAAAAGCAAATGCCTGGAGCTTTAACCGGGTTGATGGGTACGGAGGATCTACCTAGGGGAGTTGGAAAACCCTGATTCCAAACCAATGATGCACACGAACTTCAAGATCCTGAGGGAGAAATTGGCGTGTGGACCTATTGTTGTCCGTCGGCTACCATGGGCTTGAATCTCCTGACGTTGCTCCACTGCCGTGTGGATTAGATCTTTAGGTCGAATGCTTGTGGTGTTGTCCCCTAAGAAAACAACATGTTTCGATTTGGGCGCCCTCAGATAAATCGAATGATTTATTGATGCATATCTATTTGGTGCCTCCTTCTAACAATGTTTACGTGTTCAAATAAATAAATAAATAATAAGATATTTTTACTCTTTAGTTTACCTGTTAACAGAAATAGAACAAATAAAAAAATGATTTTAATTGAATAAATTGTAGTTGGAACTACCCTTTTAGTACAGAGTTTACTCATCTTCAATTGTTGTATACTCTAATCTCAGAGATTCTTTAGCTTGATATGTTATCGTGAAATCATCAAAAACATTTGATTCATTATCACATTTACTATCGTTCTTGTGAAATCGGGATTTTTTCTAAGCTAATCATCATGATTCCTATTATTAAGTATATCAACTCTAAGATCATAATAAGAAATAATTCTTTGTGATAAATAGATCTAACACTTTGTTTTCCTTTTTGAATAATTGACAATCTAGAAATTGAAGAAGCCCTGAGCTTCATACGGTTTTAAGTTTGCTAAATATCTTCAATGTGTTATGTTTGTCATGGAGTAATTCGAAAATGTACAGAAAAAAATTGAATTGTAATATTATAGTAAGTTTGATACGTTTGCATTTTTGATAGCTGAATACAATATATGTACTTCTTTAAACAATAAATACTTATTAAGATGTTTTAAGTTCATTAAGTGTTAATACGAACAACACATGTGCTTGTTTATAGTTGGGTCTTCATCAGGGTTTACTGTGAAATAAAGTTATATTTATAACCAAGTATGAAAAATATTAATCTGATAAGGGATATGTATATATAAGAATTAACAACAAAATGATAACATGTACGAATATAAAAGCCTGGGAAGTAAGCTAACGACTGAAAAACAAACTTATTGAAATTATAGTCAATAATAATCACATTGGGAGAAATATATATACAAATGAGGTAATCAAGAATGAACAAACAAAAAACACTACCACAGTTATATCTTTCGGTATTCCAAATCATCCACCTCACCTTTTCTTTTATTCTGTTAATCTTTTACCTTTGACCAGGTTATTTCTATTTCAAATGTCGTTTCTAATTACGTATTATTTTAGAATTTATTTTATCATATTGCAAAACCGATTGTCTTAAATAGTAGTTATCTAAATTTTACGATGTTTTTAATCGATTGCCAATGTTTTAACAACTACGTTTTAGTTCTTCAAAAACACCAACGCTTTATTGTTTCCGTTAATCTTGGTTCTCACTTGCCGTGTTCACGAAATTATTATTAACAACAAATATATTATAAGTTGTCGCTGTGAAAAGGATATAGTCGAGATTAAATATCGTTTTTGAAACGATTATCTGAAAAGCTTTCTCTTTACTAAACTAATGTTTCATGTTCTCAAGTTTAATGAGTGTATAAGACGGAAGTTATTTGAAAAATTATTACAGTCAAGCATTTATTGTTTTCCTTTTTTTGATCACAATTTTTAATTGTCGTATTTTTATTACTCTGAGTTCTTTAAAGCAAATACATTTTAACACAACTATTGATAAACAATTTTTGAACTAAACCACAGTAATCTTACTTCAGTTCTATCTCTTATGTATCGTTCGTTTTGATATGCCAATGAGCTTAAGAGGATAGGTGCAACAAAACGAAAACATTCTTCGATAATACGCTCGTCTGATTGTGTAAATCTAGAAGAAAAAAATTAAATAGAAAGCATTATTCAGTGTATTTTTTCATATTTTCTAGTAGTAGACCACTAGCAAATGAATAAGAGATGTATAAAATAAAGCATATTTCAACGGAATTCCCCTCAAATAAAAATTGTTCACCTTATTCTATTGAATAACTTCAGTTGTAGTATAATTCAGGTTCTGAATCATTTCAAAAAGTAGAAACAACAATTAGGGCAATTTAAATTATGCTTTACAATAATCTTCTTTGGTATACGTATATACACTTCACTTTGGATTTAACCCAATTTTATTATATAAATTAGATTATTATCATCAGCTATTTGATATACTTATTATTTATATCACTTTTCTCAAATTTCATATTACATACTTATATTCCATCTATTAATGCCTGGGTTTCATTTTATATTCTACGCTTATAAAATATACTTTACATACTAAATACTGATATTGGGTGATAAGTCAATTTCTTCCGCTATGATATACCCTCTTATAATATATGATTCTTTTTACATTTAAATAGACCTCTTTTTACATTCGTTAATGTGAGCTAATTATTGCTGAATCTAATGATAATTGATTTGAAATCCTAATTCTTATTTTATATACTTAACTGGTATACAAATAAATCACTTGGTGATGACATTTGTCAACGGTTTTATTTGCATAACGTGTTTTTTTCAATAATTTGTTTGTGTAAATAGTAAAGACAAATAGAAGCTTTATCATTTATACGTGATAAATAACTAGTCTCTGAATATGAAATATAACAGGCTGTTTTATTTTGAGTAAGAAGATTGAGCTCATTGCGAATCAAACATCACAACAGCATAACTGATGTGTTAAAAAAGTAGTTAGAACATTTTGTTAATTTTGTAGAATCTTGTCCGTAATTTTAATAGTTGAGATGAAGAATCGATTAAAGCTATACCACCATGAAGAACCTGAAAGCACTGAACAGCCGTCTCTTCCTAGTATGAGACCCCTCAGCAGTGCGCATCCACAATCCCGCATTGCAAGTTTCGAACCCAGGGCATATCGGTCTCGCGCGCGAACGCTTAACCAGCAGAACACTGAGCCGGCATCCAACGGTGTTAATGTCTAACTTCAGCCAATCCACAAAGTTGCTCCACCGTCCACCATCGTCTTCAGTGAGTTACTTTCTCACAACAAACCTGCTTGAACTCTACTGGTTACTTCTTCTCACTAGAACTCCAGGAAATCCCTCTTGAAGCCAGTCACTAGTGAGTATATATAGATCAGTATCAGAAAGGGTTCTGTGAATATTATAGTAATTTAATATTTGAGATCATGAATCAATTGAACCCACAAAATCCTTTTGATATTAATCCAATGGGTATTCAGAACTAAATTAACCCCTAAATAGTTTTTTAAGACTTATATTTGTTTGTTTTGATTGATTCTAAAAACCATTGCTTCGGTCAGTAAGTGATGTGTGCACGTTTATGTAGACCAAGTTATACCTTATCCAAATTTCTCATAACCTATCAAGAGTGAGTGATAGCTACACGACTAATCTCAAGGATAAGGTTATCAATGTCCTCCCCCAATGTACTCAACATAGTGTGCAGTCACAAAAACGAAACATTCGGAACAACACAGTTGTTTATTGATCCTTGTAATGGTAGTTTAATTAAAATCAGTTCACAATGACGGATATCCACAAACCTTTCAGTTTAAAAGTAACCTAAGTGCTTAAGCAATATTTGCTAAGATTTTATTCTGAAACGCTCTGGACTACAGAAATGACCTATGAAAGAGTCTTACTCTTTTTTCAAAAAAGCATTTGCGGTCATGCAGTATTTTTGAATTCATAAACGTTTTATGAATTGTAATCTAAGAAAACTATATTGGTAATCATGATACTGAAGTATGTAATAACATCTTTTGGAATACCAAACCTGAGTATAAATTTATTGGTAGATAAAGGCTTTATTTTTGTTTTTACGATAGTCTCCATATTTTGAAATAACGTATTTCGACCAACTAGGTTTCGTTTCTCTTTTTTTTTGAATAAATTTACTGAAATCAAATTATATGCAAAAAAATTTAAATCCACGAAACATTGACATCATTAACAACAAGATTCATTCGCTGAAAGATAAGTTGATTGCTGGATTATTGATTTTTCGGTAATTTTATTTTTTAGTAATAATATTTTAAGCATAACTTGGTTAATGAGAGAATCTGAAGTCACGCAAATGTCCACTTTCTCAACCCAGGAATAAACCGTACATCTTTCTGAGCATAAAATATATTCAAACTATGGAATATATATCGCTATCAATATCATTTGGTCCAATGTAAATTATCAATCGTATTTCGATCAATATCTGCAGGATGTTTTACATTGACTTGACAGAGTATTCTCAGTCAACGTAGTAACCACTATCTACTCTTAGGTATATAATACTGATTACTTTAGTGTATACACGTTTTAATAAAAAAGAATTATAAATACATTCCTATTTATAGATAATTGCTGAGACCTACTGAGAATCTCTTTTATTGATCAAACAAACGACTGCAATAGGGTTATCACTAGAACGAGTAAACACTGGACTGCATAGAACTGAATGAATTTGAATATCTGCATTTTGATTAGTTATATAATTCTCATTATTCATGTATGCATTATGAACTGACAGAATAGATAATAAAGTATGTTCTTGTTCCTAAAGGTTAAAAAAAAATACATTTCCTGTAAAATTATGTTCACAGAGAATTTAAATTCGATTTCAGTGAAAATATTTACTTTAAATACATTTGATGTTAGTAATGAAACAAATAAAATACTAAGACATGCATTGAAAACAATTTATTACACTAACAGACTGAAAGTATATTGATTCTATAATGTATCAGATCATTACATTATAGCTTGGTAAAGGAAACAGTATGCACCGCGTAATCATTCTCATTACCTTATGAGTGAAAAACTAAAGGTTTTGATTGACCTCCAAAGTTTTAACAGAAATTCTAAAAAAAATTTGTAAAGCAAATCAATTCTAACCTGGATAACAGTAAGGTAAGCATTCAAATCCGTGGGATAGACATACTTTTGAATACTAGATCATGGGGTTTATTGTTTAAGATTCACTGTAATTAAGCTGGAGTTACTATTTTTTTCATATTACCATGATAGTTTACTATTAGATCAGAAAAGGATTATTTCAGTGTTCTCAAATATTTTTCACCAAACTATTTTGTTATTCTAGTGTAATTTTCGGTTTGGTATCAAAAATCCTGACAGTTACTCATTACATTTATTGGTTAACAGTTTAATTAGTTATAACTCAATGGACATTGAGTTGAGTAAGTTTTAATGGTAAATATACATTGCTAAAACGTATAATACAACTGATCATAGAATAATATACTTTGTAATTCTATCTGAATATTGATAGTACAATTTTACTACTGTCTCTTCTTTAAGATTTAGTATGTTTCATTTGTTAAGTAAATTAAATTTGTATAAATTTTGATTCTAAGTACTAATCAGTAAACGAATTAAATTTTTTTGAAATTCAGATCCTCATGTAGAAATAATTCATCATCCTAATTATATAGAATTGACAATCGAAGTTCAGGTAATCACTCAATTATGTAACGTCTTAATTTTTAGAATTAATAATGGTATTCGAGTTTTATGTAATAGTTATATTAGGTAGATTGATTGTTTTATTATTTTTTATTCATTACATACGTATTTATTACTTTCCTTTGTTCAGGTAAATAAAATTGCAAATATCAAACCATTTATATCTTTTTTAAAGACAAAATATGAAATTGTATTTTACTTTTATGAGTGATTTCAAAAGAAAAATGATGAACTTACTGAATTTAAATGTGTTGCTTTAAATGTTTTTCTTGATTGCATTATTTCATTAAAAAAACTATCATTCTACAAAGAAAATATTGTCAAAAGAATTTTTAAAAAAAAGATATTCTGAAGATATAAAACATAACATTAGATGCACTTGAACATTTAAATAATAAGTGAATGATACATGTCAGTTTAAACTGAAGAAAGTTTCTTCAAAGTAATATATTCTTATAGTCAGTATAATAATTAATTTTTCAAAAATAAAATGATTATTCACAATTGATTGATCACCAGGTGGTGATCAATATCATGTATGTCAGATCCTTCTTAGTGCAGATCGAATGCTATCGATCAAGTTGCAATGTGGCCACTAATCTAGGTGACTCGACATTGCGTGTACTATGTTGAGATAAGATGGTGTTAGAAGATAGTTGTTGTAGGCCACTCCGGATTATGTTTCGTAAGGTAAATCCTATTAGATAACTAATTATTAATGGAATGATTGCGTTGTAAACATTTCTTTGAAACATTTAAAGTAAAATAATTGAATTGATTTTAAATAGTTTTGATCAAATTTTTGAAATATAACCTAAAAAGAATTTGTATTACTAAATAAACTTGTGTTTTTATGACAAATTTTAAATATATTTACCAGGAATAATAAGAATGTAGAGAGAAATCTATAGTCTTTGTATTCAGAAAACATTTATACAACGTTCAACTCTAAATGGTCAGGGAGTACTTTATTCATTATGTAAAATCTGCCTCATAACTTATTTAAACTTTGATTGCTCATACATCATGTTACGTACTGTTACAAAAAGTTATGAACTGACTTTCTTGGTTTCAGTGATTTTGGGGGTTATTTAAATTAGTTAGTTGTTTCATATATACCATAATTGTCGTTCAAACGTTCTTTATTTACTCATACCCTCCCAGAATTTTTAGCTAAAATCTTTTTGAACGAACAATTATTTCCACCAACTTCTTATTTAGGGTTCATATTCATAAATGTATTAATATTATACTACAGTAACCAGTTTATTCGGTAATACCAAAGAGTAATGAATAACACTAAAATGAAATAAATGTCTAGTAATTTTTTATATTTTCATGCGTACTGCAGTTGATGTTAGTCAAAGGCTAAAAACATTATTGGAATTTGGCAATATCATCACTAAACTTTGTTTATATAATAATAAAAATAATAATAATTCTAATAATAATAATAATAACAATAATAAGACTTTCCTCATTTTCTGATCACAACTATCATAGATAGATACTATCAGACTATCGAAAATGTTTAATTGGTAATCTGAATCGTAATTATCTTCGACTAGGCTATTTTCTTCATTAGATTAACGTTTTACGTGTATGTATGTGTTAATAGTTGTAATTTAAGATAGACGGAATGTTTCTTTAGATGAAGGTTGATTCAAATTATATTATTATTATTATTTGTAAAGCAAATATAACAACCTATTAAACAATAGAGTGGATTCATTTCATATCATTTGCTCTAAATCTTTCACGTATACATTGATTTGTATAAGGAGTCAAAATATTTTACAAGTGTAACAATCTATAATATGTATAAATTCATTGAATTCATTCATGAAGTTATTTACAAATACTTCCTCCCCTGATTCATATAAGTTCAATCTATAATTGTTTCCCATCAATGAATTAAATTAACTTACACATGTTATTCACAAATTGCATTTATTTATCAAATCTGTCTATACATGAACTATATAGAGAGAACAAAACGAAATAAATTTACTTCATCACAGAAAGTTTATCGCTTATTCTTCATGAAAGTTCATCAAAGAAACTAATTGTATGGTATGATTAGTTGTTTGTGTCAGTAATAATAATAAAGAATTCATAATGTGATTTACTTAAGAGTATATTAGTCTTGAAAAATACATTATAGATTGAATTTACTAAAATTCATCATAATTACGATTTCTAATATCCTATTCATCTGTGTTTTCAACACAAATACAAAATGAAATAATACCCAAGCTTACCTCAATATATGTAGATTCATCGAATATTTCATTTCCAGTACACTAAAAAAATGATAAAGTAAGACAAAATTAAATTATTCGAGTATCTTAAATGTTTTAACCAATCAATAGGTTGTAATGAAAATATGGTTTTACTGATAAGTTATTTATTCATATTTCATATAAAATAACATTTTTCAGATACATGTAATGGATAATTTTTTTATATGTATAAATAATTTTGTAAAGTAGCAATTATAAGCCAAACTTAATAACTATTCAATAAATGAACAAATATATTCTATCTTCGGGTAATAGTTAAAATGACCAATGGAGCTTAAATCTATCATTTAGTTGCTTAGATATGCTTTGAAACAAGAGAATGAATATTAACTTGTCAGTTAGTGTTATTTTTTGATTCCTGAATTGTAAACCACAGATGTTTTGTAGGTTTAGACAGGTTAAATATGTAAAAGTAATTAACGTCATTCAAATTAAATGCAATTTAGTGATAGTGATGAGCGTATCATCTTTTAACTCTAAAACCAATAACTTAAATTTAATTCAGAAGATAATTTTTACTGTCAACTAATTTTAAATATAAATACTTAAGTTCAGAGAGGGGTTTTATGCATATTACAGTACTTTTTAATAGTTCGATTCATGAGTCAATTGAAGTTAGACCACCATGGGAAATCTGGAAGCACTGAACGGCCGTTTCGTTCTAGTATGAGACTCCTCAACTGTGCTCATCCACGATAACGCCTCGCCTAACAATCCATCACACCTGAGATTATATTCTATGTGTTATTTATGCGACTGCTATGACATGAAAAATGATTTTCTGTTGTAGAAAATCTATGCTTTGAAAATTGCATTTGTTCACATTTTTCTGTAAATGATCGACAATCATCTTTCAATAAATATATTATTGTATATTTAAAAATTTAGATGTTCGCATTGTTTCTTTAGATGCACGTTACAGTACTGAGAGTGTAAACAGTACTAAATAATATGGAATTAAAGCTTAAAAGAAATAAAACAGTATGGTGAGTATGTCTTAACCATATATTTAGTTAAAAGTTTATTCCAATTTTGCAAAATATCACATTTTCACTTTATTCTTGTACCAGCCTTTTGTATGCTGTTTTAATGTATTTCATACTCTTCATCAAACTGATGTTTAGTTTTATCAGACAATTTTGTTATTTTCTATCCAATATAGATGAAATTTCACATGTTAGCTTAGAGTCCACTGGTTGAATAATTTTTAAAATATTAAATACTTTATTATTGTAAGTAGTGAGAAATTAACTGTCAGGGTTTTCTAATTATTAATTATGATCACATCTATCAAATATAGATGAACGTGAAGAAGTACGAAATGAGTTCATATAAACTGTTTTTCAATGGAAGATCGAGAGGGAAAGGACGAGAACGAAGAACAATTGGTATGAAAATGCATGAACAATGAAATCTGAGACGATGGACTGATATTTGCAAACGGAACAGTCAAGTTTGAGACAATTGATTGATATTTTGCAAATTAGTGAGATGTTCTGTAATTTCGTGCTCAAAAACATTCGGTTGTCCGTTCTCGTGTTCTCGTTTACTAAAGTGGCAATTTAAATTTGTTTTTAGGAATGATTTTATTACATTTATTAAATAAGAACCTGAATCTACGAGTAAAATAGTTACAGATGACAAAATACAGTGTATTAGATCTTAAAATTTATGGATTTTATTAACCTTTAGTTCTTGAACTATGGAGTAATATGATTTTTTTAATGAGGCTCTTTCAAAGTACTGGTGCACAATTAACTTGATTTTCTGAAAGAGTATTAATTCTCAATATTGTTCACTCTTTTCCTATTTGTATTGGAATATTTGTATCAAGCATATTATTTTTATTATTTGTTCGCTTTGCTTGAAACGTTATTCTATCCTCAAGGAAATTTCATTGTATTAATTATGAAGTGCTTTTTTAAGTATGTAAATTTGGCTGCTTTCATTTTAATTATGACAATTTTATGTTGGAAGCTTTAGTGTGTAGTAAACATGCTATTCAGTTGAATCTATGAGTTGAATAATTAATACCGTTCAATTATTGAGGATGTTCATTTCATAAGTGATTTCTTTGATCATGTAGTAGAATGCTAAGTAAGAATATAACTTCATATTCATTGATTGATTCCGTCAATTACGGTTTGCAATAATCCGTAAGCTGTCATACATAACTAACATATGATATGTTCATGTATATGCAATGAAACATGAAATCCGTTATTGAAAGAACAAGCATGTTTAAACATCTTTTTCTGGTTTAACCTGAATAAGAATAAAGGATATGTATTGTGTAAAAGTTCAGTACAATCAGAAATAGCAAATGTGAGGTTTGCATCGTTAAGTTTTTATTTTCTTTGCTTTAAGTTTTAAACAACCAATGGTATAAGATTGTTTATGATGGAGTAGAAAGGTGAACAAAAGCTACACATTAGGTTAGTACCTAGTTGTTTCAAATAAACTGGCTAAAAAATTAAATCCTTCAAGCTAAACTGAATGGGATTGAAAGTAATGGAAATACTTACGTGACAAACCAACTCTGAAGTGTCAATATTTCGCATCACAATAAAACCATTTTCTGAATTTGTACGCTCCATTATCTAAAAACAAATATTCATTCATTTATTTGATATATTTCTTAAGTAAGAATTAAGCAAACCTCCATAATTCACTAAAGCACTTAAATTCTTTTGTCTTAACTTTAAAATTTATACAAACAAAGATGACAAACATAAAACAATTGATGTTTGATTTCCTGGTACTCCAGTTTTATTACACTACACAACTTTGCTGAACAACTACTTTAAAATCTCCTATAACCTACAAGTGACCAGTTTAGAAAGAATTTGAAAAGAATAGATTGAGCACTTTTGATGCTCAAGAGGACTTCAAAGTATGAGAAATAAGCTTAAAGTATTTAATGATATAAATTTAGCAACAAAACTATTGTAATTTAGAAATTTCTAGTTTGCAGAAAAAGATTTTGAGTTAAATCAACTATAATCTCATAAATATGAGGCTCGGTAGACAATTTCTATATGGTATACATATATATATATATATATATATAAATGTCAATTGTTTATCAAGGAAAAATGTTAACTTACATATCTAAGAACTTTATGTTGTAAACGATTCGCTTCTTTATCCCAAAGTGACTCTGTTTCGTAATTAATAAAACAGTAAATAGAATGTCAATAAACAATATAAATTGTTTTGTTTTTTGTCATTATGCATGTTTCTATAACAAAACATTTCTATGTCATTTTTATTGACCGGTGAGACACATATATTAGTTCGCAATAAAGATAATTTTATATTGTTTGTTAAATACGGTAACGAATACAGAATACCAGAACATAAAAATACATTGTTCGAATACATTTAAAGGAAAGATAGTAGTGGATTCATAGAAAATTACTATGAGAGGTTATATGTTTTTCAAGCTTTTGAGCTTTAAAAATTTCATAGTTCTGCTTAATAAAGCCTACGTTTAAAGAAGAATGTTTGTTTTCTGTTTATTTAGATTTCTGAAGTGTTTAAGTATAATAAGTGGTGTTTCCATATTGATAACAAAATCTATTCTAATTTTCAAACAATAAATCAATTAATTATTAAATTGTATAAAATTCTAGTTAAACAATGCTCATCTAGTACTGTTCACTGTTAACCATCTATTTAACTGTAACTTTATATTGGAATGCTGTTTACTTGTTAGGAACCATAATATAATAATTCGATATGAGATTTTCAGAATAAATGTTTAGCGAGACACACAATTTAGTTTCATTTCGAAATACTCTTTGTTCAACACTTAGGTTAATTTAAAACAAATGGGTGCGTAAAGTATATATGTAATCAGTCAGGTAAATTACCACAAAGCTTAAGAATCAACGCATTATCTTCACGACTTATCCATGTTGAAGCTTCTGTACCCTGACTACAACATGGATATCTTTGCTTTAAAAGTGGTGAAGTTGATGAGAATTCATTAAATTGTTCCAGACGAATAATTCGATTCAGTGTAGACGAAAGCTGTTAAAATATAAACAAACAGATGTATTCTAAAGTTAGGAATAAAGAAGCATCCAATGAATCTAACATTATAAAAAAATGTACGTATACGATGATAGCGGGGAATGAGTGATGAATTATTCATCCTTGATTATCTTTCTCATAAAAATGTTTAAAACTAAGGTGTCATTCTGGTTTATGACAGTATTAAAAAAGAATAAAATGACCGGCACAAATTAAAAGTGATTTCTAAAAACGATCATATTGAACCAAGTTTTATCACGACCAATAAATATACCTAACTGTAATGAATAATGGTCGATTAAATTGTGTGTGACAAGTAATCAAGTGTTTTTATTTCATTACAAATCAGCTATGATATATATATATATATATATCTTGAAAAAAGCACTAGTGAATTGTTTCTGCTCTTCTCCTGGTAATTAGTGATCAACTATCTTATTGGGTCTTTCCTTATACATTGGCTTGATAAATAACCATTAGATATTAAGATAAAAATCAAAATTTGGAAGTGCTGAATAAATTATGGATCACAATTCATCAAGAATGTTTGTTATGATAAGAATGTGAGATGAATCACTTTTCTTACGTGATGATAGCATGATTCATCGAATATTTCGTACTTGTAAGCATTTTGACTTGGGTGTGGGATTGTTGAACGTAGGGTGTCACAAGAAGGGCTTGGAGGCAATTCACGCTTTATAATTAGTTGTTCCCAAGATTGTTTTGGATTTTGGGTGTACATTTAAACTGTCAAATATATTCGAGATATAAACCAAGTGTTAACACAAATTCTAAGTTATTAAAAACCAAATAATTTGCACTGTCGCATTCCAGAATTTCTATTAACCACACCTTTGCATAGATTTTTCAAGTATCAGCTAAGGTTTTAAATGCAAACCACAGAAGAAAGAGTAGAATTCTTTATTATGGTTGAATATTATACGTATAATGATATTCTCGGAAATCAAAGTTAACTAGACAGTTATTTGAAGTTAACATTTATTATTTATTTGCAAAGTAACTAAATTGCTCATAATATCATAAAATTTCAAAAACATTACAAATCCATTGGAGAAGAACGCACCTGATCTTTGAGCAGTTGTGCCTTGTGAAGGTGAGCTTTCGGTAGTGATTCCAAAATCATCTAGATGGGCAAATAGAATTCACAGATTCCGACATGAAATAGTTTAAATTATTTAGTTAGTACAATAGTTATCACTATAAAATTACTATCTGTGACACTTTCGTAATTGGTTAGTAATTTAGACGCATACTCATCAATATTAAATTAAAAGGTATGGCGAATATCTCAGTAAAGACCTTATTGTAAGCTATCTGCATTTGTTTGATTGAGGTAAACGTATTTAACTGGTTAGTATTTTTGTCGAAATTCGATTGAGTATTCTGTTTGTGTTTGATATATAATGAGAAAACGACGTTTTCAGCATCTTGTTGCGCAAATAAAACTCTGTCAAGTGGTTTTTTAGTATCTTGATTAGTAAAATTCGGTCAGCTTTGAGAACTGTTAAAATGAAGTTGACAATCCATATATTTTTAGTATATATTGTTGTTTTAATAATGAAGTGCGAACATATAATGAATATGGTAGAAACCTCGACACTAACCAATGAGCCATTTTGCAAATAAACCTGATGGATGACTATTCTCAACGCATATGGTCCATCGTAATAAAAACGGAATTTGAAAAACTAAATGAACAATGAACGTTTGTTCCTGCTAAAATCTAGTGCTTTGAGTGAAGCGAAAATAAAGAAAAGTCCAAATTTAATATATGCAACTTCTAAAATATATTGTTTTATCTATCAAATAATAATGTAACGTTTTTCTTTCGTTCTCATTTATATACTGAATTCCAGACAACTCTATAAAATTTATACAGTGTTTTTCTTTAATAAAATAATAAAAACCAATGAAATATTTAAGAAACTATTCATCTATATATTTTACCAGACAATTTATTTATTCAAGATCTTAAACGTTATTACCATAAACTACAATATAAGAAAATGCTTCCGGTGTTCTTGTGATTACATCATGATAACTAAACTGTCTAATTTGGATTTTTTTCATCAGCACACATGATATTTCAAACAATTCCAGTTTATGAGAAACTTAATCAACAATAACCTTCAATAAATTCTTTTTAACTATAAAATGTATTTCAACTTAAACTTGATGAATGGATCAAAGATTTATGAACTGAAAGAATCAAAAGCAGCTCTGAATTTAATGTTGGTGCCATTATCAAATTGTTAAGAATGACACGAATGACAAAAGTATCACTTAGAAATTATGGAAGAAGACGTTTAAACACATATAGCGTAAGACCATTCTTGTTATTTATTTTTACACAAGAAAATTGTTGGGATAATTAAACAAAGGTTACCAGCAACTAGTGAAAAAACTTAGAATGTTAGGACGGTAATCTCTATATTTGTCAAGGTGGGAGTAAGGCATACAACGGGTGTCAGATAATCCAGTCGATATACGGGAGAGAGAGATTTGTTAACATTGACCAAGTATTAAAATATCGCAACATGGGTTCGTAGCAGTATTCAAAAAGAATTATGAATTAAAACTTAGTGAAATGTTTCCAATTACATTCATTAAAACAATTGCTCCTTATATGGAAATCTTTAAACCAGAAACAATAACTTTTATCAATTTACCTATTAAGTAATCCCTGTTAATAATATTACTGCATTGTAAAACAAATGCGTTGTATGAATGCAAGATCAAAACTATTGACTTACCAGTTATCAAATAAATAACTGTCGTTAGATATTATTAAGGAAATGTACATTTTTCAAAAAATATTTTTTACAGTTTAATGTTTTAAATACATGAAACGAAAAAAATTTCAATAAATAAGTATACTCGGAACGACAAGCAATGTATTATATTAATCTTCAAGCATTAAATGTTGTGTAATTTTCCTAAATATTACGCTATATATGAAGAACTCAGGTTTGTTCAATCAATACTGTTCATCAAAGACCCGTCATGATCACTTCTTGGTTCGTAATGTCATAACTTCTAAGTAATTTTGTTTGTCAAAATAATTAAAAATGTTTTAAAATGATAGATTAATATATATACATATATTTGAAATTAGCACTTTAAAATTCACTTACAACAAAATGAGTAACATATTCACCATATTTATTGTCTTTATTCAACTCGAATGATATCACTAATGAAAGAAGAAAAAAACAATTTAGAAACAATATCATTTCTTAACAATGAACTTCTAGAATAAAGTAACCATGTGAAAATGTCCGTCAGCGAGCACCAGTTCCCGCAAGATTACAGGTACACCTTGCTGACGAGTGCCAAGTAGCACGAATCCCGGGTCCAGGGTTTCCTGTTGACTACCTCCAACCACCATCTAATCTCACAATAGTGCCCGCAGTGTCGAGTCACCTAGACTGGTGACCACATTGCAACATGGTCGACAGCATTCGATCTGCACTAATAATAAGGACTAGACACGCATGACATTGGTCACCACCCAGTGATCAATCAATTGTGAATATTTAGTCAGCTGAGCTAGACCAAAACAAATATCAAGAATGCTTAGAAAGCTGTAAAATTGAACATAGAACAAGGGACTTCATATTCATCTTTATTTTTGACTAATTGAGTAATTTGTTGAAAATAACTTGGTTTAAATATATGTTTGATGCTGGCAAACAAATAACATTAAAAATGTTCTTCTCTAACAACTGTATATATCAATAATCTTGTCATATTCAACACCAATAATATGAATGTTTACATTTTTAGTGATAGAAATGTGTCTATCGCATTAAGTGTATTACATGGCTGTTATATAAGCTAAAGCATTATTGTGAAAAGATGTTGCTAACTGAACAGAAATTTAGTAGCTAAAAGTCATTATTATTTCATATCACTTTTGTGACTGTTTAGAACTTCTGGCTTGCTTAAATATAACTATATATTATTATTGCATGTAAGTAAGAAGGTTAGTTTGTTTATTTGGAAGAAAATTTAGAATCATGGTAGAAGTCGACATTTTAGCTGAGATGGAAACATCAAGTTTCAAGTTTGGTAAACTATATGGTTATTTTTCATTTCATATTTTTTCTTCTAAGGAAATGAATGAAAATGTATATTCTTTTATGGTTAAGAGATTCCTATGATAATATAATTTATTTAACAATACATAATTTAATTTTTGACTAAATGAACTGAAAATCTAATTCCCTCAGTCCCAAGAGAGGGAAGGCTGGAACTCTGATTCACAGCTGGAGATTCAAAGAAATTGATGTTTGTTAGACAGGTTTAATTACACCATATATGGACATTTAATCTCATCCTTTGTTTGACATGTAAAAAGAGTATTTTTAACCAGGATTAATCAAACAATACCTTTTATCTTATGTACATTTATTCTATCACCTATTATGAGTTCAGTAATATGGTAATAAACAATCCATCAGTTTCTTCTAATCCATAGTAAATAGGTTTTGCTATGCACAGAAACGTTTGTGAACATATTTATTTTGATCATTACATAACATGGATTTAAGTATAGAAGTATACTAAATATATACCGTAATACTTTTGTAACATAGGGAAAATAATTGAGGAAATTGGAAATTCTTTATTAGAAAGACATAAAATTTATTTGTCATGAACTGTGAAAACAATTTACACCCTTGCTACGCTATACTAAAATGTCTTCAATATAACTTCCAACTAAACCCTCTCATGTAAGTAATTTAAACTCATTATGTAATTATGATTTTAAATATCACAGGTTGTAAGCAGCTGACGAGAACCAACGAAATAAAAATGAATTCATGCTATTCTGCTAGGATGTTTGTTTTTGCTCTTTTCAAAACAATTTATTATTAGTTTTACTTAATATGGCTTAATATTTTCAGTATTCAAATCTCCTACTAACAATGGAAACCTAAATTAAAACAGTGTGGTACAACGATAATGTCATTTGGTCTGGTATTTCTATGTTTCATTTGATTTTAAGTGATTAGCATTTTATCGATAACCTGATAACCTAATATTAGTATTCTACTAGAAAATATATAAGGGAAAGGTAGTTCTATGATGAATATGTTTGTACTTCGAACGAATTGATTAATATTAGTCTGTATGTTAACAGTCTGTTTTTTTTATATCAGCTCTATTATGAAAGTTCATTCAAACAGATGTAAGTTAAATTATTACAATTTGTATCTAATGTAATTTCTTACAATCAAACACTATGAAGTGATTGAAAATTAACAACTTTTAAACAGTAATCATATCTGATAAATTTGATAATGTATACGATCGAAATAAATAGTACAGTATCGCAGTGTCTATGCTCTATTGCTAAATCAAATAAATTAACAAGTAATGACAAGTCAAACTTACTTTTAAGAAAAGATAAATCTTTTAAGGACATTCTTATTAATAATTATGCATAACTTTAATATACATACAACAAACTAAACTGTTTTTTAAAGTGCTCACTGTGCTGATTGTTATTCGTTGTATTGAAGTTTGACTGATTTTGAATTTTGCTAACAGATGCTAATTGAGTAATAAAACTTGTTGTTACTTCTTTAACACTAATCTCTTGATCAGTTGAGTTTCTATAAAAAAAAGTAAAATAAGACAAAATTCGACGTTAATAACACTCATTTATAAAGTTCCCAACCAGAAGAGTGTCGTGAGAGTTCACACTGATCTGGTAATGAAAACATTGAACTTTAATATATATATATATATATATATATATATATATATATATATATATATAAACTTTTTGTGAACCATGTTACTGCTTTCTCAATAGGTGTAGCGTATCATCATTTATCATTTAGCATAATATGATCATTACATTGTCGTTTTTATGATCAAAGCTTAATTTCATAAATTAACGTACAGAAAGTAGTATAAGTTTGTTTCTCTTGGGTTAATCAAAATAGGAGAATATGAAGTGAGTTTACATAAGTTCATCTTGTTTGCTTAACAAACCTCAACTTAACACGTACTTCATACATGGATTCATTTAGTATAAAAGCTGGATAATGCATACCACTGAGTCATAATTTACTAAAGTGAAGAAAGACAATTCTGGATCCATGAATGGATCAATCAGATAAAGTGAGTATTGGTGAGCTTCTGTATCAGTCAATATACCAAGTCTCTTAGTTTCACACCCTGTCTTTATTAGGCAAATTTGGATGGAGTTCTTGTAACCACAGCTAATAAGATGAGATTATGAAGGAATCAGATTTTAGACAACTTGCTAACAGGAATAATTTATATCCAAAGCTTTTATGTTAAATATTCAATGTATGCACGTCTGTCTTCTAATCAATAAAATGTAACGTTGGACCTAGTATACATGTATATTGGTTCAATCTGCTACATCATATTACACAGCTATATAAAATTATCGATACAAATACCAGAGTAGTAAACGTAGTAGCAGTATAAGTATAAGTGGAAAAGATTATATATCTACCAAATGCTTTGAGGAGAAAGAATCGATTCGTTGAATAAAATGATGTAAGCCAGTCTATAAAAATTAAATCACACATTTTTTTACCTGATTTCACGAATAAGTACTTCAAGAGGACAGTTTACTGATGGTTGATGTTTATTTGATATAACCAGTTCAGCTAACCACTGTAAAAAGGAAGAGATATAAACAATAAAATGTAAAAACTGTCGTTTAATATCTTTCATAAAATCTCATAAACGTTGACCTACAATCTCAAGGAATCAAACCGAAAATAAATGAATATAGAAACATAAAAAAATCATGTGAAAATCATTTTGGAAGTTTGCCATTGTACGAATCATTTCATTTACGAGTACAATATAAATGCTTTTGGAAAGTGGGTGTTCGTTAGAACATTAATTAAGGGGATCTAAAAATATCGATTCCAAATATAATTTTTATTTCGAATCCTACATCATAGATTTTACTAACGATATCAATAAATTTCTGTATAGAGTTAAAGATGTACAAAGTAGTAACTAAATAAAAAATGTAAAAGTATTAATTAATTTCATTGGTTCTAGTGTAATGTAATAATAGATACCAACAGACTAAAAAAACATTTGGATAAAAAGTAATTGAACTTTGAACCATTCAATAGGCAGTTATTAAACAACAGTCAGGGTACTAATTCATGATCTGACTCATAAACTACTAGTCACATGCCAAGTTCAGAAGCAACTATACACAATTTGATCACTAATTTTGAAGCAGTATGCTGTTTGAAATTTCTTGACATTGAGAAATGATTACACCAATGACATAGGTCTTTGTAAGCAGAGTTGGATTATGGGTAACGGTGCAATCTAGTAGACGCGTTTAGTTCTGACTGAGAATCATCGGTTGGATGCACCTGCATCCCATAGTTGATGTCCACTCCAGGAATCGAATCCAGTACCGTTTGCTTCAAACGTAATCGCATTATCCACTTAGTTACTGAATCCAGAGGTCCATAGGTTATTCTAAACGTGTTACAGTGAATAATTATTGTTAATCACTGATGTTACTGTAGCTACTCCAACTACAAGTGAAAGCAATTAGCGAAATAACTAAACAATCTACCTTTCGACTAATGAATTTCTATTGTATAAATACAAAAGTTAATCAAATACTGACTTTTAAAATAAACTTTAGGAACCTAGTGTAATAAAATCTCTAAACAATGCCACACAAATGACTAGTAGCGTTAACCTCTACAGATATACAGAAGCTTATTACAGTTCAGTATTCTCTGAATGCATCCTTGTTCACTTATAAATTAAATGCAGTTCATTGTTTAGTTTGTTTTATAATCCATAGATCAACAGAATACTGTATAAGGTTATGAAAGAAAAGTGGTAACAAGATTGATCTCCTCACAAATACGATGTGTTACCGAAAAATCGGGTTTACTCAAAACCTTCTCTAACAAATAATGTTTTCGTTAATGATTTCAAATTTATAGGAAATGTCAGGCTTTAAACACAACCCAAGTACGAATATTGTCACAGTTTTGATTGGAGACAAAATATGTTGAAAATAGGTAATTTACCCCAAATGTCATCTTGTAGTATGTGTTTTAACAACGATCGATATGTCCCAGTAAAGCAAATAAATAACTGAAAATAAAGACAATTAAGTAAAAGGGCTCCGTAAAAAGAAAATATACAATACTTAACTGCGTATTTAAATCAAATGAATATAAATCCCTGACCTTTGATATTAATAGTTAACACGAACCACTTATCAGTACTAGGGAAAAATAGTCTTGACTGTGATTTCTTAATGCATTTACAACTGTTACTAATAAGCTCATCCGTTTCATTACTAAAAACGCTGACATCTTTATATTTATCTTTTGGAAAACATTTCACTGTTACTTACACATGAGGGAAATAAAATTTTAGCCGCATTTTGGGACTGTTCCAGCATTTCGCGCCTTGATATAATTGAACCAAGAAGAATACTGACATCGTTTATCTGTAGAAAAATCAAAATGATACAGACAATCGATAATTAAATTAAAGTAAAAGGAACTAGACCTATTTGTTTACTTTTATGGCAAGATGTCGTTAGAATTGTCGAAGTTAACTGAGAAAAATTGTTGAGCCTTGAATGCTTCTAATAGAGATAACAAAGTAATCCTGAACAAAAACATTCGGGTTTCATAGGGTAATTGTGTAAATATAACTGATTGAATTACTGTTTGCTGTGTGTATAAACAACAAGATGAAGATAATGAGGATAACATACTCCTCAATATTTAGATTTTGTACGTAAAGTACACTTTGTGTATGATTATATAGTGACTTTTACTGTGGTAATACCTGGCTTTATAAAAATGGAAAAATGATAAGGCATATGACATAACAGCAACCAGCAGCTTCTGTTCCACGAAATCCATATTACTTAGTTGCAAATCAAGAGTACACTACAGTGTATGCTAATAAAGTACATACATTTTACTTATAGACACTGAAACAGTCCAGTTTTCACAAAAAATGATAAATATTTCTACTTTTGACAAAACATACAAAGATAGTAACTGTATAAGATTGCTATCGATATATCGAGTACCATCTTCTTAGGAAAACTTTTACATTGATTACAAAATAGTTTTACTATGACACATAATACGTGGTACGAAATATTGATATTTACCTGTTGAAGTCTAAAGTGAGTACAAAGTTTCACTAGACTTCAAATAAGGTCATTCAAATCTGATCCATTTAAATTAGCTAGAGATTAATGAAGTAACTTAATATATCCTGTTATCAATCGACGAGGAAACAAACTAAGTCAATGTTAGATTCAATTTTAATCAACCTAAATGCTTAAACGTAAGGAAATTCATCCTGATGACCTTGTGAGTTTTCACATTCCCTTTTTAATGGATTTATTGAACATATTTTCTTCATATAAGATAATGGTATTTATGTAATTTTCTTTTTGATAGTTAATGCTTTAACAACTTTAATTTCTTTTTTAAAGATGTTATTCATGAAAATGTATAACCTTTTGTTAAGAATTCAAGTTGCATGCTGTCAAATAAACATGAAATAAAAAACGATCTAGTGTGTAAATCTAGAATCTGTGTAATATGTTAATAAAGTTATGCTTAAAAAAAGAGATTATTTTCGAATTTCTAAGTTGTTAGATAAAGTAAAAAGTATAATAATAATAATAATAATAATAAGAAGAAGAAGAAGAAGAAGAAGGAAAAAGTGTTTCAAATTTTCTGAGGTCATTTATGGTTTGTGCGTGACAGAAGAAACTGTTTCGTTTTTTATAAGCAGAGATAAAACAAAAAAGACAAGAGAACTTTAAATGTAAGCTTATTTATAATAAAGTTTCTGTAGTTTTAATAAAACTGACCGTAATCAAACCATTTTCTTGCTTTTGGGTGACTTTTGCAACAGAAAATAACTCAAATTTTCACGGTTGGGTATTGTGAGCAAACTATACTTTAAAAAGATATTAAACAATGAAGTAGAATTGAATAATAGAAAGATCAAATGTAAGATTTTGATGTACTGAACTGAAGTTTGTTGAAAGGTATGTCCGTGAAGGAAACATTTAGTGTCATCGTAATTTTAATACTAAATGATAGCATACAAATATCATGTGTACTCCACAAATAGCATTTGCATTATGTGTTCAGAAAATAAACAAATATGTATATCAAAGCTTTCTTATATAAAAAATTTAGTAAAAATGAAGTATAATTCAGTAAGGAGTCATCGGACCCTTTTTGCTAAATAGTGCACAATGTGTTATATTTAGTTTTACAAATTTAAAGACTTTGATGTTTTTTAGTTTGAAACTATATAATATACGTTTTTTAACTGGTATATTTAAGAGGAATGGAACGTATTGGAGATTATGCTAACTTTAGATGCACTTTGAAAGTCACAACCAGTTGTTTAAAAAAAGTAAATAACCCTAGAAAACATTAACTCGACTAACAGAAACTATTAAGCGATTATAATGTCTAAAGAATCTTATTGAATCTGAATATAAGAAGTTTTTCTCCACCAAATCAGTTAATTGGTATATTAAAATATTACAAAATACACACTTATTGAAGATATACACTAATTTTTTGTCATTAAAGTATTTTTTTTAAAATAATAATGTAAAATAATTAGCCCTTGACAATTATGAAACGTATTTATCATATGATGGGGAATATTATTAATACCGTTTTATTTACCAGTGTTTTATTGATTCAAAGGAACAACAATGTTCAGTTATATTCTTCTAAATCGCAAAACTTTACATCCATCAATTTTTATTTATAGTAATTACTTTGATTTGTACAGGTGGTAAATTTTATGTATGATACTAGTTTTAGCCTAAATGATTGTAAATGTTTTCTAATAATAATTATGATTTATTTATATGACAATATTGTAATGTTGTTTGAAGTGTAATCCATCAATCATAAACATAAAATATATTCAATTTATATTTGTTTTCAATTTATTGATATGGAAATTTTTAAAACAATAAAATGAGCTTTCCCAACAACAACAAAAACATTAATTACAATATGGATATTATTTAATTTTATCCGTCTTGTGAAAGAACATACATTACATAATAACATGTCAATATCCTGAACAATTATCTTAAATCAGGATTTGTGAGCTTGAGTAAATAATTTTTTTCGTAATAGGGATATTAGATAGAAATTCAATTTAATAGTCGAATTCATGAGTCAATTAAACTTAGACCACTACGGAAAACCAGGAAGCACTAGACGGCCGTTTCGTCCTAGTTTAGGACTCCTCAACAGTGTGCATCCACGATCCCGCCCCGCAAGATCCGAATCCAGGACTTATCAGTCTCGCAAGAAAGAGCTCAGACTCTAGACCACTGAGCCGGTATTGAACGGTGTTAATGTCTAACATCAAACAATCCACTTCAAGGTTTTCCATGGTGGTCTAGCTACAATTGACTTATAAATTTAACTATTAAATTACTATAATATCCGTAAAACCCTTCATAAAAATTCAATTGTCAAACAAATGATGAACGAATATATGCAAATAAATGAATTACAATGCATTTTTATAATAATAAACTGCTGAATGATATTTTGAAATTACTTTAATTTCAGTTGCTTAAAATTTGGCTAATATGGTTTTCTTTTATGTGTGAACTACCGAAAGTTATGAAGAGCATAAAGGATACTGTTTTACAGTTTGAATGAATTATGGAACAATTATCAATTTATTTCATATGCTGAATGGAGACAGAAAATCACAGCTTTTCTACAATATTGTTACATCATTCAGTATGAATATTTTCATACAGCATTGAGTATGGTATTACGATGAAAAACCAATTCAAAGAATTGAATATTTTAAAAGGAACTTATTATCTCGATGTATGTTTTCTTCTTTCATTCAAACCTAACCGACTTTCTATAAACTAGCATATTTGTCAAGTAAAAAAAAGTAGAAGAATAATTCAATACTAGATTAATAATATACTTATTTAAAACCATTTCTAACAAACCCGTAAGGTATTCAGTAATATAATTTGATATACGATGCTTTTGCATAAAACATATTTAACGAAACAAAATAACCTACCGCTACTTCCATAATCTACGGTTCAAAAAGTTCAACCAATTATTCATTTCATAACTATATCATTGGAAAGGATTCGATAATAATAATAATAATACTTATTATTATTGTTGTTATTACTAATTAAATCCATATCTTCCAGATGTTTTTAAAACATGAATTTACCTTGCTAACAAAACTTGATGTTCTTTTTATTTTTCCCTATCCTATGAGTTTTTTTTATAATCTATAAGTTTCAAAGTCAGTAGAATAGATCAATCAGCAAGATTTTTTGTATGAATCAATAAATATGAGGTTAGATTGATAAATTATTTAATTTGGTTGGACAGATCATTTTTCTAATAAAACTCCATTAAATTTGCTTGTAATTAAATAAATTTCAGAGCTGAATAAAAATCCAATTTAATTATCAGAAATCACAATTGTTTGCCTATTGTTGGAATGATAGATCAGAAACGTTGATTAAGCATTCTTCCGCATATATTGTGAGCCAATTTTTTTTTCATTTGTGAAAAACCATAGTATTCATACGGTTATTACAAAATGAGCTCACAATAGAAAGGAAAACCTGTTTCCTCAAGTATATATTTTATGATTTGTAGGCTTTAACCAATCAATAGTTGATATAGTGAAAGTATATTTTCTTAGTTATTCAATTCTACTGAAAATAACAACTAAGTTTTTATTCTTTTGTATGAAAGATCTCATTTTCCCAAATATTTTGCTATCTGGACGCTTAATGCGGATTGTTTTTCATACAATGAGTTAATGTAGTATATGTATTCTAATAAAAAAGACACATATTTCTTTCAAAATGGAAAGCTGAAACTAAGTCAACTTTTTCACATTCATTCGTTTTGTCTAGTAGAATGAACATTCAATTTTTTTATAAAAGTATGCTTTCATGTTGTCACAGTGAATTCAGCTGGTGAAAAATTAAAATATAATCTTTCGCTTGGACGATTCCATCCGCTTTTATATATCTTATCAAAATGATTTTAATGATCCATCAATTTCACAGCTCAATTTGTGAGAAAGAAAGTATTTTTATGTTCCCAGGTCGAATTGTGAGTTTTAGTCAATCGATGTAGATATGATGTATTTTAGCATAAACTGATCATATACTAACAGTTGAGATACTAATAACTCCTGATAAAACGTAATGATATTTTCTCTCATTAAAACAATAACACAAACTTAATAAAATACGACTGGGGTTTATTATGTATCTTTAAGTTTAAACAAACTAAGAGTATTTAGTTAATTTCGAAAACGTTGTTGCTTCCTATAGACATCATATTTGACATAAAAATAACTGAGTAGAAATATTATTTGTCATTTTGAAATACAAAATGCTGTTATAATTCAAGGTCAGTCAGTTTG